AAAAATTATAATTAATATACAAGCATATTATCTATTGGAATTTAATTTAATCATTTAAACAATCAAATTATCCCAATTAAAACTAATATATTGTATCCATTAAAGTTTAACCTATTTTTGTAGGTTTATTCTAATATATAATATAATTTGTATAATAATTATTATTTTTTAAGAAAAAAATTAATTTTTTATTTTATTTTGATAAATGATACAATGAAACATGAATTTTGGTTATAAATTTTATGTTTTATTATGAATGATTTAGTTTTTTTGTTTGTTGTTTTAATTTTATTTCAAATAGATAGTATAATTGTATACTAATTACGATTTTTTAAGAAAAAATTAATTTTTAAATTTTTTTTAGTTTTATTTTTGATATTCTATTCTCGATTGGATTTATTTTTATGTACATATAGTATTTTAAAATTGAAGGGTCTAAGTATTATATGCTTATAAATTTTAAGAAATCTAGTTATAATTTATTAACGAATATGACAACAAGGATCTAAGTTTAACGTGTGTACAAATTTTAAGGAGCTGTATATAATATTTCAAATGTCAAAAAAATTGAGTTATTAAATTGGCAAAATTCAAAAAATTTGCATGCAATTCTTCATGAATAAAATTGAGCAAAAGAGAATGATATTGATTTCAAATCCCTAAACAACAAGAAAAAACCTACAATATGCCAGTGTAATGTCGGTGTAGAGGATGAGATGGCTGACGTGTGTGGCCTCTTATGGATGAGGAGGACAAACATATTTTAATCCAATGTGATACTCCCACGTGGCAGGCTGTCATATTGTGTGTGTCAGTCCCAAAATACGAAGCCTAGGTTGCTAACCTGTGGGTCTATAATTTGAATATTGGGATCTGTGAATATCAATCCAACGGACGGATTACACTGAAACGATACATCAGTGGTATTATTGTAATACTTTTCAAGTCTGTGACTCTTTCTCCACTGTTCATCTATAAAAGGTAACGTCCAGAGCAACATCCACACGCCTAACCTCATAGATCCGATCAAAGATATTTCTCCGACGTCAGGTACCCCTCTCTCTTTCTCTCACACACACACGCCGCTCCCCCCTCCCCCAAACACACACACACACACACGCACCCTCTAACTGTATTATCTATGTGTTGAACGGTGACGGCTTATTCGCAGAGAGTGACAATGGACGTAATTTCACGAAACACTCCTCCATCGACTCTAAATCCTTACGCCCCGATCTTCGTTCCGGCGTCCTATCGGACGGTGGAGGACTTTTCCGACCAGTGGTGGGATCTAGTTCAGTCCTCCCCTTGGTTTCGCGATTACTGGCTTGAGGAATGCTTCTGTGATCCCCAAAATGACCCTACCTTCCCCGATAATTACGACCCTGTCCTTCCTAACATGAACGATCTCTTCGGTGGTACCACCATCAAACGTACGTAAATCCTTCTAAATACCGTACTTACTCCGAGTCAACTCGTTCGAATTACCGGTTTAGATCCTTTGCTAACTCACTTGATTTTCGTGCAGAAGAGGAGAGAGAAGGGCAGAAGGATTTGGTTTCCCTTGGAGTGTTGAAGTGGAGGAAACCGCGTGTCATGGCGGGGACGCCTAGGTACTTTGAGAAGGCTCCGAAGATTGTAAATGTGAAAGTGAGTCCGAGGACGATTCAGCAGCCAAGGTAGACCGAGTTGGGGAGTGTGGGCTCAGTGAGTTCGGTGAAGACCGAGTCAGGGTGTTTAATGTAGTATAGTGTATTTGTACATTTACTTTAACTTGGGTCTGATATGTAGATTTTCAGCGTTATGTTGATGTTACATGTAGCTGTTTGTACTTGAGACATTTTCTATCCTTCACTTTGATTTGAATAAAAGTACAGAATAGCAATAAAGAAAAAATCTCGATAGACACAAATTTGAATTGATGGTAAGAGTTTCAAAATATGATTTGATTTATTAAAAAACACAAAATTAGAAGATTTTAATTTTTTTTAAGTCATTTATTTTGTAAATGAATGGGTTATATATGATATGATTAATAAATAAATTGAATATTAATAAAATTAATTAAAAAAATATGTGATATTTAAGGTATAATTCAGGTGGTAACGAGAACGAATTTTAAATTTAAATATTTTAAATTTTGATAACTTCTTTGAACTAAGTTATGAGAGTGTGGATAAATTCTATTTTAATGTCGGCGTGAATAAATTATCTTTTGATCAGATTAGTTGAGGTGTATTTAATTTAATCTTGATATTCTTGACCGTTGGATTGAAAAAAAATATATAACACGATATATATATTAATTATATATTATATGAATTTGATATAACATGATTTATTATATACAAATTAATAAATAAATTAAGTATGAAAGTTATATTTTTTTGACAAATTCTCTCCAACTCAAGTCCGACAAAAAATTGTTTTACTCGGTTCAATAATTAAAATAAATATAAAGGTAAATTTTTATATTTAAAATTCAAACTCATTTATGAATGATTGTATGTATTCGAGTTTTGTGACGTGACCATTAGCAGCAAAGAAGTGGTTGATATTCGGCTCCTATTGCTGTTGCTCACATATTTACTCTAAAATGACTATTCTCTCCCCTGTTTTAAAGCTAAAACTTCACTAGTATTATTTCCGAATAATCGACCAAGCAAAAACCCATTTACAAAAAATAAAAAAAAAATCTCTTTCAAAATAATTATTTGACTTTCAATTATCTCAATTTAATCCTCCCTTAACTATTGATTTCATATCAATTAAGTATGGGAGTTTTAGCTGAATTGTTGAAGTTCTGAAGGGATAAAATACAATTTAATTCCATTTGCCAACTGCTAATCCTCTCAAGGTGGGGAGGGGGAGGAGCTTTCAATTCTTTGGGTTATCAATCAGTAAATGCATATAATTATAAAAGTGGTGGGTGAGGTACTTGATTCCTTTCATTGTGGGGCGTTCACTTTTCAAAAAAAGCTTCTTTTGTGCTTTTAATGGGTTTTCTAATGAGTTAAAGAGTGGATTTGTTGATGGATCAAATTTGAATCAGATTCTGATTGGTTTGAATTTGAATTGAATTTCAAAAGTTCGATTCAAATTTGATATGATAATTCGATGAATTTTATTTTCATAGTTTATATCCGAATTCGTTAATAATTCAAAATCTGTTTTCAAAAGTTCATCCCAATAACTTATTTAATTTAATTTTAACAAAGTATACCTAAAGTTTAACTAAATTTTTTTAAATAATCACTTATTTTTTTTTAATATCTATATATAAATATATAAATAATTTGGATCGGATCTTAATCTCATTAAATATAAAAATATCTAAATTTAAATATGTGAAACATAAGATATTGAGTTCGCATTCGAGTTTAAATTATCGATAAATAATATTAATTCATATCCAACTAATTGAATTTAGATTCAAAATCCGTACATTGACCGGCCTAGTTAAGAGGAAGGAAAGCGGAGCTGCGGGGCGATAGGGAAAGGAGTCCTACGTGCATTAATAATATTTTGATCAATTTAAATTTATTGTTTTGGAGAAAAAGAATTCTCTCCCTACCCCCAAAACCACATATTCTGGTTTATGTCTTGCAGCTTTAAGATGGCAAACTAATCATTTTAGTTTGGTCTATACAACAAAAAATCGTACACATGTCACTCATTTAATATTGTAATAAAAAAAATTAAAAGAAAGGATAAACAGAGAAGATCTAAATTCCAACAAAAAGAGTGTTTGATTCGAGTCCTATAACATCTATATAGTGTTTGAATCACGGTTGACATAATAATGTTAGTTTATTATTCTAGCACTCATCCCATATTTGGATTTAAAGAATGGTATTAAATTAAAAAAGACGAATGGACCTTGGTGTTCAATCCCATATAGAACCAAGTTTGAGAGAGGAAAATTTTGATTCCGCAATTATTACCAATCACAAGTGAATTAATTTTACATCACATGTAGGATTTGTTTGTATCTAATAAGGGGGGGTGTTATTCAAACTTGGATTTGACTACGGTATTTCTAAAAAAAAAATTCGGTATTATATCTCTAAAATTTATTATTTTAAAGGGTATTTTTATAATTTTTATGGGTCATTTTACAACTAAAAATTTATCACTTTTGTGGGTATTTTTACTACATTTGAGGTAACTGTTTTTATTATTTTTTTGAAGTACAAAAAAATTTATTATTTTTGTGAGTAATTTATTACATTTGTGAGTGTTTTTATCACATTTGTAGATATTTTTATCACTATTGTGATAACTATTTTTATTATTTTTTTAACTTCTACCAGAGTGGTAAAAGTACCAACAAATATGGTAAAAGTTACTATAAATGTGATAAATTTAGGTATGGTACTAAAATTTTGAATTTCGATACCATAGTCAAGTCATTCAAACTTTGGTATAATTTATGTATTTGAATTTGGATATAAAAATAACCGATTCAATATGAACTAAAAACCAATTAATCGACTTTGCATTTGGGTTTACCTGTGTATTTGTCCATTTATTAGTGGGTGCTTACATCACCTATAATAATATGGTGTAATCCTTATACTCAATATTTTCTTCAAAGAAAGGGTTGGGCTTATAGCAACTCCAAAAAGAGTTGTCATTTTAGGGTGTCAAATCACTCATTTTCAAGCTTGAACAATGTATTAACACCATTGAATTATTAATCTACTCCAATGGTAGATTCTAAAATAGGGTGTCATTTTTATACTTTTATTCATCAATCTATATTCATTTAACGGATTTATATTCATCAACTTATTTGCAACCTCTCTTTCTCTCTCCAGAGTTGCAAAAAATGTCATTCTAAGAGTCTTGATGCTATTTTTTAACCCCATATGTCACCCACTTGAAGTGAAAATTTTTAATTTTGGGGTTACAAATGGAGTTGCCACCCCCATATGCCACCTCCCTTGGAGTTGCTCTTAACATTCCCCACAAAAATGTCACTAACTCTGAGGAACAGTTTAATGGAAACAAGAATAAGAAGTAAACTTATATATTTCAAGTTTGAAACTAAATAATTTCTTTGAAGTTAAATTTTGAGGAATTTATGCCTTAAAAATTATCTATTACTGATATGAATGACTTCTCTCCGACTAAAATCCGAGAAAAAATTTCTTAAAACGTGCGTATAACCTTGGGTAGACACCCTAACCCCCGGACTATAATAACAAAAAAAAGAAAGAAAGGAAGAGTGTCGCTTACGAAACGTATAATTAATAGCTAACTGTTGAGACGTTGACTGTTGGTTTATTTTTTATGGAGTCTAGTTTGTATATGTGATCCGGATGATGACCCGACTCGAAATAATGTTGTGTGGTTTTTAATGGAAAATTTTCTGAGGCTTAGTCCATGGAGCGAAGGCTTGGGCCGATAGGACATATAAACCCTGTTGTTTTGGTGATTAGGGTTAATAGTGGATTGTACAGCCGCTCTCTGTATTCAACTCTCTCAATAGTGAAATCCCTGCAGCTTCGTGGACGTAGGCAAATTGCCGAACCACGTAAAATCTGTGTCTTGTTCTTTCTTGTTTCTTATTGCTTTATATTCTTGATTTGTTCTTCGATTGTGTGTGTTTGTTAGTGGATTTAAATCGTGAGAAATCCCAACAAGTTGACCCCACAATTTGAACAGCCTTACCGGCTCAGATCTTCATTGATCGTAGCTAACGCAAAAAAAATGCCAACCATAATATCTAATTTTCACTTTGTCCATATTTTCTCCCATGGCCATTATTTATAGAATATAAATCTCTCTAATAAGGTTAATATTGATATTTAAATAAATTTTCTTTCACTTTCCGAAAAATGCCAACCATAACCAACCACAACCACTCTTTTCAATTTTCTTGCCTCCAGTAATAAGATTCCTCACCAAAAGCAAAATGCCCCCCCCCCCCCCCCCCCCCTCTCTCTCCAAAAAGTCTTTCGTCGTTGCTTCTTCAGGCTCCAGTTTCATTCTTCTCATACACCCACAATTCAGAAAGCAAAAATTTATTATAATCATCCAACACCAAGGTCCATAGCTACCCAAAAATGGGAAACGCCCTTAGATTTCTTTATGGCAATTGTTGTAAGCCAACCGTAGACTCGGATTCCCTGGGTCACCATGGTGTAACCACAGCCACCGTAGGCGTTTCAGCCCTTGCCCATGATCTCTATCTCTATGAAATCACCAATCAGGTATGTATCATCACCCTTCTATTGCATCAATTCTGATTCAATTTCATATCGTGGTTAAGTCGAGTGACAATCTAAGTATTTCAACTAATTATTGATTTGGGCAACTTAACTATTTTACCCACTTTAACACTATGCTTAATAGTTAATATCCCTGTTTCTAGGTTCCTGAAGGACTCAGTAAGCAAGTGGTCTCATCCAAGAAGGCTCAGGGTAACTGGTAATTGCTTCACAGTTTTTCATTTTTTTTTTTTTGTGGTTGTAATTGTAAATTAAATGTTTTAAATTTCCTCTGATCATTGGCAAAGATTTTGGGTAATTCAATTATGTGATCTAAACTCACTTTTTCCTATTGATTTGCGTGAAATTGGGCTACAAATGAAGGTACAAGAAACTTTCAGTGGCATGGAGAGAAGCAAAACCTCCACCAAAAACACCTGAGGAAGCTTCCAGGCTTATTATTCAGACCTTAAAGAGACATCAAAAGGCAGATGTTGAGGTAAATACTGAAAAAAACTACTGCTGAGATTCTTCTGAAATGCTTAGAACAACAAAGTAAAACATACGTGTGGGGTTTCATTGTCTCTGGTTTCTTTGTTTTATAGGGTCTATTGGCTTTCTATGGTCTCCCTCTTCCACACACTCTTGTTGAACTTACTGATGGGGTTGCCCCTTCGCATCCCGATGGACTATTGTTCGAACTGCAGACACTTACAGTAAGAACAATGTCATCAGAGCTATTTGAAAATCGGATTCCTCTTTGGCCAAGAGGGTTTAACTTAATGAAATGTATGTTTTGTTTTATTAGGTGGATGCAAAAGCTGTAACAGATGGAGATGGTGTAACAGTATATGTTAGTACCACAGATCCCCGGGAGTCATCGTGCGTCCCTAGAGACGTACAAGTTGCAGCTGTTCAGAGATCAAAAGCCCGAGCTGAGAGGAATTTCCAAATGGCAGATGCGCTGCACAAGCAAATTATTGAAGCAGGATATCGGTTGGTTATTTGATTGATTTTGCTTATTTGGCAACATTTTCCTTTGGAAAGTTATTGATCCATGTAGTCCTCCATGCAGGGTGCTACCTATTCAAAATGAGGAAGTTCTTGCTCGAAAATATCGGATTCGACTAAGGTATAATAAGCAACCAAGCAAAGTGGTGATGGAGTATCATTATATTTGTACTTTTCATTATAAGATCAATGGGTGATAGTTTCTGATAAGAACAGGGGAATAGATGCACCAGAGATTAAAATGCCATACGGAAAAGAGGCAAAGGAGGAACTGACTAAGATTGTTCAGGGCAAGTGTTTGAGAGTTCTTGTCTTTGCAGAAGATCGTTATGGTCGTAGCGTAGGTGATATATACTGCAATGGCATCTTTGTACAGGTACTGGTTTAAATTTTGGGCTGCCTTCGCTTACAATTGAGTCTTTGAGCCTTTCTGAGTGAGTCTTCTGATCTCTCACATATAGGAATCTATGTTAAAGAAAGGGTATGCATGGCATTATAAAGCTTATGACCAACGTCCAGAACTAGAAAAGGTAAGCAGTTTTGAGATAATTCTTGTATTACCTTTGGGTTGAATCTCTCTTTTTAAGAGGATGTTTGCATTCTTCTAGTGGGAGAAAGAGGCTCGGGCAAAGCATATTGGACTGTGGGCTTCGAAAAACCCTGAGATGCCATGGGAATGGAGAAAGGACCGACGTCAAGGAAGATAAGCTCTTTGCAATCAAAGCTACCATTGAGACCAACGGCTGGTTGTTCTTCTACCCAAGAACATATAGGGGCAAGCTCAACCAAACTGTTTGTCCTGAATAACAGAGAAGTTCCCTATTTATGATCAAGAGATGCTAGCACGTCGAAAAAAACACCACCAGATCGAAGTTGTATTCCCATCTATTTGTGCATCAAGTTCAAAGAAGATCTTAATCTATAATGAAGAAATAATGGTTGCTCGTTGTTTTATAAGCTTTTTATCATATTCAGTCAGACTCGACGGGAGAATCTATATTTTCCCGTTTAGATTTTAGGAAAGACTACATTTCTGATGACTCTGTATATTTTCGATCATGATGTGAACTTGAGTTTAATTTAAAGGATCCAGTGAAACGTTGCTATTGATATCTTAAAAGATTGAAGAATTCATCATCCTGCAGAACACGAGATTCTAAAGCAAATTCCTGGTTTCATGAACATTATCTTTGTGCAATGTCCAAGAATTGTTACTTTAGATTAGAGTAAAAGCACTATGGAGCAATAAAGTGGTCTTAAACACTGTCATTATGCTGTATAAAAATTGCATCCTTATTATTGAGGATCAACTCGACAAAATGAGCTGGCACAAAGAAATCAGTTAATGATAAGAGAAGCATCCAACTGATTCACGCGAAAAAATCAGAATCAACACAGTTACACTTTGGAAGTAAAGAGAGCAACACATTGGGGGTTAAAGAACTGAAAGAAAACTAAAGATGGACGAAGCAGCAGGCCAGGAGTCGGAAGTTTTACAGAACCATGGTAGATGTGGGCACTGGTGCAGCACGAAAATACACTGCAGAAGACGAGCTTTTGTCAGTATTGAGAAGAAGACATGTAAATCAAAAGCATTTAAAAAAATTACATTTCCATAACCCAAGAGAGTACTACAGTTGGTCGGCCACAAGAAGTCGAGAACAAATTACTACTGCAACTTTTTCACATTATTGTTCTTGTTTCCACTGAGATGATTTAGACAACCCGAAAAACTGGCCTCCATGGCCTCAAAGCAGATGCCATAATGGCCTCCTAAAAGGACTCGTATTTCAACAAGGAAGTTCTCCATCCAAGCCAGCATTCCCTGCATTAATCACAACATCTGCCATCCATTTAATTTTATTTCTATAGCTCGAACTTTCTATCCAGCAAACTTGAGTGAACCATTATTTTCTTTTCTTACCAACATGATAATGTCAATGGTTTCCTCATTTTTTTTAGCCACTACAGTAACATCCAACTTTGTGCTTGTCATGGCATTCAGCAGCTCTAGGCAGGGTAAAAATAATTAGCAAACGTAGAAGTTTCCACCTAATCAAAATGACTTTAACAAACATTGCAGAATTGGTCTAGTGGCGCTCTTTTAATACAGTTAAGAAAGGTGACTGGTTTGTTCTCATTGACAATAGTATGCCCTGGGAACATGCAGGGCATCAAACAGGCATCAATACATAATGCACAAAACGACTTAAATCAAACAGCTTTAGTTTCAAGTATTTTCAAAATTCTAAATAACAAAATAAGAACACAGAACTGAAATCAAAGTATGAGTTCGAAAAGGAAAGCACAGGTATCATTGGAAATAACAAGCAAGAAAAATGGGGATGTTACTCGTAACATGTTATTCGATTTTCAAATTTATTTTTATTTTTTAGACAGTTAATAAGATTTGGACCAATGCCATCCATCCCACGGTAACGACAATACCACCAGCCCAAGACACCTGTGGTGCGCTTATGACTGCTTCGGATTCATCAACACCACACTTCACATCCTGGACATTTTCATTAACACCACATGTCAAAAGGAATTGTGCTTGTCTACATTCTCATTAACACGCTAATAATCTTTTCTAGATTGGTTTAATGATGTGTTTTCAACAATGCATGTACAATAAGGATTGGAAAAGTAACTGGGTGTTTATTCAATTGACTGATGAGAGCAGATTGAGATAGTGAAAAGGGAATTTGAACTCAAGGGAATCACATTTAAAATTTTGCCCAATTCCGGACTCACAGGCTTGACATCCTATTGGAAATGAAAACTAGCCTATTACCCACAAAATGATGACAATAGAACTAATCTAAATTGTTTACGACAACAAAGACCTCAGGAAGGACCAAGTTAGAGAGCCAGGGAAATAACTACGGGAGAGCATTCATATTTTTGCCCAGGTAAAGGGATGCATCTCATCAATTTAATGGGTCAAGGCTGTCAGGCACCACCAAAACGAATATCGAGTAGCGACGCCAAAAGGTAAAAACCTATTTGCATTTACCATATGTGCATGCTATATATTATATTATTTTATTAAAGAAAACTAAGTTTGTTGACATCAATTTAATCCTGTTATACAATTAGTGAAAAGCTTGTAAAAGCTGTTAACAGCTATAAAGCACATACACTCTTTAAGAAGGTGACGTATCTGTGTCGGCCACGTGTCAGACACCTATACTCTTCGGACACATGTCGAATATTCTTTTATCTGTATCCATAATTAAATGAAAATATTTTAATTTCAGACACATGTCTAACACTTCTTTGGTAATGTGTCTGACACTTTTTTAGACCGTGCCTACTACAAAACAATAAACATGCATTCACATGTGATTAAAAAAGCTTAAAATTTGACTAATAAATATCTTATACTATGAGAAAACATACAAATACTAAAACTAAACATGTTAAAATTGTCCTCAAAATTTGATAACACAATCAAAAGATAAAGAAAAGATTTAGAATAAAAGTAATTGAGTATATGAGAGCAATTATTTAAATTATATATGTTTAGGACACGTCTACGAAAAAATTGATGATTATTGACTATTATGAAGTCTAAAAATTCAATCTAGATGGCTAAATATAACTTTTATTATCATAAATTATTTTATTATTTTTTTTATGAATGTTAAGAGTATTAGGGTGTATATGTGAAGTGTTAATAGTGTTAGGGTATTATGTACAAATACATGAGGGTGTGTGTGTAATTTTTATTATTATGAGTTACCTATAAATACAAGTGATGTATGAGGGCTAGGTTAAATTTTAACCTCCCTCTGTTTCTCCCTAAATATTGTCTCTATGTTAATCTTCCAAACTTAACATGGTATCAGAGCAAAATCAATACAAATTTTAACTTTTCTGGTTCACAGTTGTGTGACTGGTGTGGTTGTCGTGGTCCGTGGTTGTGCTGGTGGTAGTCGACTGTGTTGTGCTGGTTCGTGGTCGTGTGGTGGTAGTCGACCGGTTTGCTTGGTGGGGGTTTCTGGTTCTCCAATTAGGTGGTGGTGGTGGTGGTTCTTGGTGTAGTCGATTGTGGTCGACGTTGTGTTGCTCGTCGTTGTGTAGTTGTTGCTTTGCTGTTCGATTGGTGTATGTCATGTTGAAGGAGCATTAGGGTTTGCTCTTTGGAGAAGAAGAAGTCCAGACCCTAATCCATACCCGGATCCAGACTTGGATCTAGTAGCCTCAGACCAGACCGGTTAAGGCCCGATTTAGGCCAGTTCAGGTAGTTTTAGACCGGTTTAGGTGTGGTTTAGTCCGTTTTTAGACCGGTTTAGCGGTCCAGAGAGCCCAGCCGATCTGGTTTAGTTGTCCAGCCCGGTTTTCCAACCCGGTTTAGTATCCCAGTTGGTCCAGCTGGTCCGGTTCAGTGGTCCAGCCCGGTTCAGGTTCAGCTGCTTCCTTTCCTTCTGTTATTTGCTATTTGCGGCACTATTATGGATTCCAAGCAAGATATCACGTCCCTTACTCCATCTTTGCCTCCTCCCACTCTTATTAATGGTCCCATGACCTCTGTCAAACTCAATGGGACTAATTACACTTTATGGTCCCGATCTGTTCAAGTCTTTCTTCGAGGCAAAGGATTTAAAAAATATTTAGTATATCCTAAACCCAAGGAAGACACTCCTAGGTATGATCAGTGGGAACAAGAAGATGCTCAGATTATCTCTTTATTGTTGAATAAAATTGAGCCTAGTATTAGCTCTTCTCTGCTTTATCTTGATACTACCAAAGATATATGGGATCACTTGGCCACTATGTATTCTGGTACATGTAATTTTACCTGTGCGTATGAGGTGTGCAAGGAGTACTTCCAGTTGGAGTAGGGTACTCTGAGCCTTGCGGACTATTACTCTCATGTTCGGGGAGTTTGTGAGGAGATGAAGACCTACCATCCGTTTACTACTGATGCAGCAATTTGGCAGAAGCAACATGAGGACCTGAATGTTGTTCGATTTTTGGTAGAATTGAAACCTAAATATGAGGCTATCCGTTCTCAGATTTTGGGTGGTTCTAGTCTTTCATCACTGCTTGAGGTTTTCTCTCGTTTACAGCGTGCTACAATGTCTACTCTCCCAAGCATCGATCATGGTGTCTCCACTGACCGCTCAGTTCTTATGGTTCCTAGTAGTCATAGTGATGGTCATCGAGGTGGACGTAGTGGTAGTGGTGGTCGAGGAAGTCGTACAGGAGGTCGTACGGGTGGTCGTGAAGACCGTAGTGGATCCCATTCCTGTACTCACTGTGGTCGTGGAGGACACACTGTTGACTTCTGTTGGGATCTACATGAAAAATCTTCTGGTGCTGCTAATCAGGCTTCTTATCAGGATAACACCCCAACTATTGCTTTCATACCTCGGTCAGCTCCACCAGACACTGGGTCAGTTACTATTACATTGGGTCGAGAGGAGCATGCTCAGTTCCTGTCCCAGCAGTAGGCTGTTCCATCTCGCTCCACTGTTACTTTGGCCCAGTCAGATACTGCTTCCACTTGTTTGTTGTCCTCCACCCGCAGTCCCTAGATCATAAACTTTGGCGCTTCTGATCACATGACTGGTGCGTCTGATATTTTTTCTACTTCTCAGTCTGCTACTTCCACATGTAGTATTGCTCTTGTTAGTGGTACTTGTTCAAAAGTTTTAGATCTGGGGACTACTCACTTGAGTCCTAATATGTCCCTATCATTTGTGTTATTTGTTCATCAGTTTCCTTTTAGTTTACTTTCTATTAATAAGATTACCCGTTCTCTCAATTATTCTGTAACATTTTATCCCTCTTATTGTGTCTTTCAGGATCTCAAGATGAAGAGGAAGATTGGTACGGGTCATAAAGCCGGTGGTCTATATTACTTTGATTTTGATTCACCTACTTGAGCTATACAGACCTCATTGTCTCCTTTTCAATGACATTGTCGTCTTGGATATCTCTCTCTCCAGAATCTGAAGCGCCAAGTTCCCAGTTTTACTTATGTGTCGTCTTTGTCTTGTGAAACTTGTCAACTTAGTAAACATCACTGTGTGTCATTTCAGTCTAGAGTCAATAATCGTGTGTCTAGTCCATTTGAGTTGGTACATTCTGATATATGGGATCCAATAAAGAATATTTCATCTTATAAATATCCTTATTTTGTGTCTTTTGTGGTTGACTATTCTCATGTGGCTTGGTTGTTTTTGATGAAATCTCGATCTGAATTGTTCTCTATCTTTGAGACCTTTCGTAAAAAAATAAAAACTCAATATGGTTGTCGTATATGTATTTTACGTTCTGATAATGCTCGGGGATATGAATTTGATCATTTTTCAGCTTATCTTAGTAAAATTGGCATTATTTATCAGACTTCCTGTGGTTACACATCTCTACAGAATGGTGTTGCTGAACGCAAGAACCGTCATTTGTTGGAAGTCACCCGTCCCTTGTTATTCCAGATGAATATTCCCTGATATTTTTGGAGTAATGTTGTTCTCACTGCTTGTCACCTTATTAATCGTATGACATCCTCTGTGTTAAATGGACAAAGTCCATATTATGTTCTTTTTCCTGGTAAACTCTTATTTTTCCTAAACCCTAAGATTTTTGGATGTGTCTATTATGTTCACAATTTAGGTCCTGGGTTTGATAAACTTGATCCTCGAGTTACCAAATGTGTATTTCTTGGTTATTCCCGCACACAGAAGGGGTATCGTTGCTACAGTCCTTCTTTGCGACGATACTTTATTAGTGCTGATGTCACATTTGAGGAATCTGTTCCATATTTTTCAACACCTTTGCAGCCTTTGGATCTGGACTTTGGGTCACCTCTTGTACCACCATCTCTTCTCTCATCTTCAGATATTCCGCTGCCTACTGTGTTACCGTCTACTTTACCTCTTCGTGTATACTATCGTCGTCCTCGACCATCGACTGAGATGTCCGTACCGTCTTCCTTGCCGCCTTCTGATCCTGGTCCATCAGGTACTTTAGACTCTTTACCTATTGCTCTTCGAAAAGGTACTCGTTCATGTGTTACTAATCATCTCATTGCTCATTTTGTTTCATATGATGCCTTATCTTCTGTCTTCTCTTGTTTTACCTCTCAGTTATCTATTATATCTATCCCTAAGTATTTACAGAATGTATTATCCGATCCGGGTTGGAGGAAAGCTATGGAGGATGAAATGGATGCCTTACATCACAATGAGACTTGGGATCTTGTTCCTTTATCCCTTGGTAAACGAACTGTTAGTTGTCGTCGGATGTATACTGTTAAATTTCATCCGGATGGTTCTGTGGAGCGTCTCAAAGCTCGACTTATTGCAAAGGATTTTACTCAGACCTATGGTGTTGATTATAAGGAAACTTTCTCTCCTGTTGCCAAAATTTCCTCTGTTCGTATCTTGATTTCTTTGGCTGCTAATCTTGATTGGCCCTTGTTTCAGTTAGATGTCAAGAATGCCTTCCTAGATGGTGACTTGGTTGAAAAAGTATACATGGAGCAGCCACCTGGGTTTATTGCTAAGGGGGAGTATGGGAAGAGTGTATGTCCGTTAAAGAAATCTTTGTATGGTTTGAAACAGTCACCGAGGGCATGGTTTGGTAAGTTTTCAGATGTAGTTTTAGAGTTTGGTCTTCTTCGATGTCAGACAGACCATTCTGTGTTCTATAGACAGACAGATGCTGGATATGTTCTATTGGTGGTCTATGTAGATGATATTGTGATTAAAGGAAATTATCTGAAGAGATTGTCAAGTTAAAAATCTTCTTGCAAGATCGATTTCATACTAAGGATTTAAAAAAACTCAGGTATTTCTTGAGAATTGAAGTGGCTCGATCCAAACAGGGTATTTGTTTATCACAGAGAAAATATGTACTTGACATGTTAGAGGAAACAGATTTGTTGGGTGGCAGACCGATTGATGTTCCTATGAATCCGAATAAAAAACTATTGATGAATGATGGTACATTGTTTGAGAATTCAGGTCGGTATCGCAGATAGGTTGGGAAGCTTAATTATCTCACTATTAATCGACCGGATATTTCCTATGCAGTAAATATAGTAAGTCAGTTCATGTGGTGTCCTAGAGTACCACATTGGGAGGCAGTTACTCGTATCCTACAGTATCTTAAACGAGCTCCTGGACTTAGACTGTTATATCGAGCTAATGGACATCTTAGAGTGGAAGATTTCTCAGATGCTGATTGGGCTGACTTTCCTTCTGATCAGAGATCAACCACTGATTATTGTACTTTCTTAGGAGGTAACGTTGTCTCATGGAAAAGTAAAAAACAATATGTGGTAGCAAGATCAAGTGCTGAGGCTGAGTATAGGGCAATGGAGCATACGACAAGTGAGTTGACTTGGCTACTGCACTTTCTCCAGGAAATTGGGTTCCAGTTCAACCTCCTTTACAATTGTTCTGTGAGAACCAGGGAGCTATCCATATCGCTGCCAATCTGATGTTTCACTAGAGAACCAAACATATTGAGATTGATTGTCACTTTATTTGAGACAAGATAGTAACTGGAGAAATTACGACTCCATTTGTGAAATCTGAAGATCAGCTTGCAGATATGTTTACCAAAGCATTGAGTCGTACACGTCTTACAGAGATTTATTCCAAACTTGGATTATATGATATATATAGTCCAACTTGAGGGGGAGTGTTAAGAGTATTAGGGTGTATATGTAAAGTGTTAATAGTGTTAGGGTATTATGTGTAAATACATGAGGGTGTGTATGTGTAATTTTTATTATTATGAGTTACCTATAAATACAAGTGATGTATGAGGGCTAAATTAAGTTTTAACCTCCCTCTGTTTCTCCCTAAATATTGTCTCTATGTTAATCGTCCAAACTTAACAATGAATAATGTCATTATCATTATAATTGTAATAAATTATATATAATTTTAGATATAAAATACAATTATTTGTAGCATGTCTCCAACGTGTCCGTGTGCTGCTTTTTTTAAAAATGTCACGTCTGCGTGTCAGTGTCCATGTCCGTACTTCTTAGGTCATCAATGATAGATTGTCTCTGTCTAAAACCAATGATGTAGGTAAACTAAAGATTAAGATCATCAACAAAAAATAAAAATAAATAAAGAAAGAAGGGGGGGTGGGGATGTGCAATCTCATTATAAGTACAAACCAATGACTTGTGAGCATGGATACAACGTGAATTTAAGGGATTAGATACAGCAACTTCCCGAAGTGAAGGAAGTATCCATATGGCACAAAGCCTATGAGTAGTGCAGCAATATGATATGAGGATCATACAATAAGTCTTTTTTGAAATATGTATAACACCTCGTACTTCGGCACACTTGTTAGGGACATTAACATGGAGAATTAGAGAGGTATTCAAATGAGTGCTATGATGAGGATTGAGGAGAAGTGCTCTTATAGGAAGTTAGGGCTTTGGAATCAATGAGAGGACAGTTATAATTTGAGGATCATCGCAATAATCTCATGCACAAATAAATAAACCGCATTTCCACTATGAGGAACACAAGTTTAAAGTAGATTGTAGGATAGGATACCATTTGCAAACATCACAATGAGGTTTATTTTAGGCACTGTATTCTCCGAATAATATTATTGAAGTCACTCAGGCTAAAAACAATCCTCTGACTAACTCAAATTCGTTTACAGCATGAAACAAGAAGGTGAAAAGATAACTCCTATGCTTCCTACATAACATACTATCTATGGAGAGTGCACCATAATTCTGCATGAGAAAGACATCAAGAACACAATTGCATATCTCATCATGTCGAGAGTTCATTTACCGCCTTATTAAACAGATTGAGCTAAGCTTAATCTCAAGAAAAAAAAAACAATTAAAATGGAAGATAATTCAACTCACCCTGCCATTGTTAAATTGACCAAGAAAGCACATTAGATCCTATTTGGCGTCAACCTTCATATCATCAGAATCCGAGTCACTGGCATTGTATCCTAAAGGAAAATAAAAATTACTATTATCTGCAATCTAAGAACGAATATAACCACCATTACAGCAGCAGAGAGTCAAAGAGAGACACTAAAAACCTGGATGTTTATCGCTGACTTTCCATACTGAGGACCGACTCTTCGAAGCTCTACTAATCCAAGCTCGTCCCTGACTTCCCAAAGCAATCAAAATCAAATTATTTTCACAATATCTACCAAAGCAAATTAAGACAAAATTGACATATACAAATTGCCCTCGAATAGAAAAGGAAAAACTTCAAATACCCACCAAACTCCTAAGAAACCCAATAATATCAATAACCAAATTCATCATAAAATTCAAACTTCATCACTAACTCATAAAAAATTGGAATCTAAGACAAAAAGGAACTAGACAGAACCCAAAATCTATACCAAAACCCCAACAAACATAAGAGCCCAATAATTTCAAGAAATCAAATTAGCGAAAAAAATAAAAATTTTCTGAGACAGATAAACACATATTGTAAGTCAATTGCCCCTAATGTGCGAAACCCCACCTAAAAAACAATACCCAATGAAATTAACCAAAAAAAAAAAAGAAATTGATGAAAAGTAATAGAGACCTTCTGGGCATCTCTGGGGACACCGTAGCCACTATGATACATCTGACCCACCAAGACCTGCATGGCGCTATCCCCGGCTTTGGCCTCCTTGAGTGTGTCCTGAAACCACCGCTTCACGCAGTCCGAAACCACCTCAGAAAGTAGCAATCGGGTCTCTTTTGGCTGCTCTGAATTCCCTTCCATCTTCTTCTTCAACCTCAATCGTTGATGCTCCAACTCAACGTGGATTCCCTTGGTGGGTTTGGCGGGTTCGGGCAGACGGGTTTTGGAAACGGGTTTGATTGGCTTGGAAATTTGTAGTCTGTTGGAGGTGAAGATCTTGGCGAATTCTTGAAGCCTGGTTGTAGAAGGAAGTGATTTTCCCATAAAAAGTTAAAACAAACGAAAGAGAGAGGAAGTGTAAAGTCTACAAGGACATGTCTTTTGTGTGTTATATTTTCTATTGAGAAAGAATTGGCTAGGAAAGTATGGATTAAGATTTCCCTTTCTCGTTCCTTCTGGAGGGCTTGCTTTCGCTTTTTGATTGGTGGGTAGTGTTCTTCGTTCTTATCTGGGTTTCATTGTTTTTTTTTTGGGGGGGGGGGGTCACTGACTCTCTGGGGAGAAGGTACTGAGATCAATATGCAAGCAGTTCACATTTTCTAATCTGTAAAAGAGGTCGGAGATTATATGAACCAAAGTGGGACCTTCGAGAAGTGTTGATAAGCGATCCGACTTACTCGAATTCGGTTTATTTTTTAAATGCGTAAAATTTAAATAATTTTTTAAATTTATTTAAAAATCGAAAGTAAAAAACTTGATTTAAGCTCGCAAAATTTAACTTATCTTTAATATAAAGCAGGATAAATTTTAATAAATTCATTTGACGGTCTCAAATAGATTCATCTAACGACTACCAACATTTCTCTCAACACCATTCATATCAAATTTTTTTCCTCATAAATCCATCACTTCTCACTTATATCACGATTACATAAGTTTACGTTACACTGTGCCTTCAGACGCAAATTACTTCTAATTTATATATAAAATAATCGAACTATACAAGCTCGGTTAAGGCTCGAGCTTGAAATTTTTTTTTAAACTCAGTCAAGAAAATGAGTTCAATAAGCCGATTCGACTATTAACTTTACCTTGGAGAAGGAAAACACATAGTGATCGATTCTTTCCATCTTAGAAGATTTTTGAATTTTTAAGTTATATTTTAAAAAATTAATATTTTTAAATTATACCCTTAGTCATATTCAAATATAATAATGTGGTCCAAAACATCATGTTTGTTGCTCTGTACATTTTTTTTTTTTTTTGTATTTTTCTATTTATGTAAATAAATTTTAAGAATTTTAAATGAAGTTTTGTTTACTTAATTTTATCAAAACATATCATAATTCTATAACTTTCAGGCTATAAATTAAAAATTTTAAAACCATTTGCATAATAAATAACACATCCCTATTTTGATCCAATAGACACAAATCCTACATTACCACCATAAGATTAGTTTGAGTGTAAAAAATTATTTCCATATATAGAAGTCACGATTAATAAGAGTACTACCAGCAACTCTTTACAATGCACAATATTTTTAATCATTTCCGGTCACCATTGCCCCAATCCCAACACACCCCCAAACCCTCATTGTTGAATAATTATATTGTAAATTAATTTTATTTTTTAAAAGATGATAGGAGTACTTAGATAAGACATATAGAAGGATTTAATTGGATGAGATCAATGCACTTATTAAATAATTCAAAATTAAAAAAAATAGCTTTGGATTTTTAGGCCACCGGTAAATGGCACGAAATCCCCACTAGGATAAAATTGGGCATGGGTTAAATAAATACGACTAAACCCAAGTTGTTACCCCACCCCGAAATGAATGACCCTTGCCCAAACCAACACCAATTGCCTTGTCGCTGGATTCAGATCATCTATATATTTTTTTCTTCAATTCTATATTGTAGTACATTATTTATCATACGTGCAAATAGGAGCTATTATGTACAACTGGATCCTTCGGTCATTAATAGTGGTGATGTGTTAAGAAGGGAATATCATCACTCCCCTGTCCTCTAACCTCCAACATGTTCAAGATTTTTTTTTTTTTTTTTGAATTGGCTGGTGAAATAAATGAAACAAATCTGATTAATTTAGAGGTCTCAGATACAATCATAATAAGAATTCTTAGAGGTAGTTCAGTGATTGAGCCTGATAATTGATAACTCAAAAGTCTCAAGTTCAATTATTTCTTATACTCTCTAAGAGTCAACCATCGTTGTTCTTATGAGACATGTTCTAAACTAATTTAGTCACAGTGAAAGCCGTTAAGCTCAATGAAGTAATCGAAGCAAGCTTGCACATCCTGCAATAAAAAAAATAATAAGAAAAAAAAATTATCTCATAATAATTGCGCATCACTTTCGGTAAAAGTCGTTGCATTTCATTTGTAAATGCAAACACATTCTTTGTAAATGGACAAGGGAAACCCAAAAAAAAATCCATTTTGGTTGGTGAACCCATAATGGGCCGAATAGTGGGCCCTAAGTTCGAGGTCAAGCCCACAACTTTGTTGGCATGGTGTGTCATTTCAAAATTGAATTAATATGGTTTCTTTTATTGCTATTTTTAACTTATTGTTTGTGTGGAAGCGTGTTTAAACTCACGCGAAAGCATATTTTTGAAACTTATTTTCAATTAAAAAATCTTGGAAATGTATTTTGTAAGCATGTTCTCATATGGAAAAGTGTGGGTTTAAACTACACTATCAGATAAATATTAATAAATTAAAAATTAAATCAAAAATTATGATGGAATTAAAATGAAGATCTAAAATAATAATATTTTGGGGAAATTATAACGGAGTACACCAAATTAAATTTAATTGTAAAAAAATACAAAAAAAAAATGTTGAATAATTAAGTCCTTAATTTTGATATTTATTTGTATCTAAATACATTATTTAAATTTTACAGATTTTTTTGTGACATTTTTGTCTTCCATTGATCCATGTGTATTTTCTTTGAAAATTGGTGCATTAAACATCTCCTATTATTTAAATTTTACTGATTTTCTGTGACATTTTTATCCTCCATTAATCCATGTGTATTTTTTTAAAAAAGTGGTGCATTAAACATCTCCTAGTATATATATATATATATATATATATATATATATATATATATATATATATATATATATATATATATATATATATATATTTTATTTTTTTCAAATTATATATAATTATCTTTATTGCACCTTAATTCATGCGTATTTTTTTTTTTGAAAGTGATTTTGTTTTCAAATTATATTTAATGCACCGTGATTCATGGATTTTTTTTTTTAAAGTGGTTTTATTTTTAAATTAATTTAATATCCGAATAATGTAACAATAACTGTATAACAGTTTAACAAGTTATTTACACAAAATATTGTACTATTACATTATGTCAAATATATAGTTTCATATAATTTTATTAAAAATAGTTCATCTCTGTTTTAAATTTGTTACCACATACACAAAATTATTGAACACTGTTTTTGTTACAATGTATTGTTACATTATCTTTGTTACAGTGCATTTGTTATACTATTATGAAGTTCTGATATTAACAAATTTATAAATTCAAACAAGTGATATATTCTAAAATAAACAAAATATTAAAATTCTCCTATAAAACTAGCAGTAGTAAATATTTAATGCATAAATAGAATTTGAAAATAAAATCACTTTCTCAAAAAAAATACGCATGAATCAAGATGCATTAAAGATAATTCAAAATTTAGATAAGAGATTTAAAAACAAATGTGTATATATATATATATATATATATATATATATATATATATATATATATATATATATATATATATTTATATGTTTTAACAAATACACATGAATCGAGGTGAGTTAAAGATAAAAAATTTTGAATTAAATGACCCTAAAATAGACATTTACGTCTTTGTCTCAGTTATATATTTTTTTTCAAAACATTTTGTTATATATGTTTTTGGTCTTCAAATAGCTAAGTTCGTACGTATCTTTAAATGATAAATAAATCTGCAAAAAATATATGATGTTGATAATTTTTACATCAAATGGATTGAACAGTAAGATTTTTCTTTACAGACGAAACCCTATAGATGTTTATGGAACAATTTTAGGGTTTATCGCTAAAGAAGATGAAGTGGTTTTTGGAAAAGAAGAAGCCCAAATATTTAAATATTTAAGTGAATTTTTAATTCTATTTTAGAAGTTAATCATAATTGTTCCCAAACATTGGAATGGAAATGAACATTTCATTCCATTCCAACCTTCATTCCACTTCCATGTAAAAGTGTTCTCGCATACCAAACGCAAGAGTTTTATAATTTATTGACAAGAGGTCTCTATGTGCTTTTCCTGATATTAAATATCCATCACTAATCTGAATGGAGATTATAAAAGAATGAGATAAGGGAGTATGGTATGGGAGTGACAAAAAAATAAAGTTAAACAGTTAAGTAAGATTATAAATGAGTTATATGTGGTTATTTGGAAAAAAAGAAGAAGAGTAATAGTCTCATTTCATGAATTGAGACCGCAAAAAGGTTTAAGGAAAAATTATCGTTAGTTATTTGAGAAGAAATCTTTAACATAATACATGACATGATTTAATAAACTTATTTGACAGTCTCAAATATTATTCACATTGTACCGTACTTTCAGACACGAGTTACCTCTAGGTGAACACTATAAATAATGGACGCAAGATGTAGCAACCAAGCAAAGTGGAATGCACAGTGAATTCATTGGATAAATTATTTGAAGGGGAAGCCCTCTAAACCATCTTAGACGAGGAGATTAACTCTAATATATTTTCTTCAATTTTATTGTAATCATGTATGATTAGAAGACACACTTATAAATAATGGGTCATGACTCTTATATAAATTCAAGATGAGAGATTTATAGATATATTTGATTCGATTAAAATCTGATTTGAATTATATATATATATATATATATATATATATATAAATAATATATATGAGATTGTTGAATGTTTAATGATATTGAGTTGAAATTCTATATTCAAAAAAAATTAAATTTAAATTTAATTAAATAAAATATAACTTTTAGGAATTATTTGGATTTAATTGAATTTTTTGATCTGTTTTCTTACCTTTAATGTGTTTATATATAAGCTGTGAAAATAAAATTCTTTAATCATTTAGGTACGACTCAAATTAAAGTTTTAAAATCGAATTTGAATTCAAATAAGTTGAAATCCGAGTCTAAAAAATATGAGATGAGCACATTGTGAAGCAAAAAGAAAGAAAAGTATGGTGTTGACATCTTTTTTGATCTATTGTGATCTGAATGTCACGTGTTTGAATTGTGAAAACAATGGATAAAATTATATACATCTAATCCTCTTCAAATCTCGTAATAACGAGAATCTCATATACTGAGTATATCCTTTTAAATTAAATCTTTAAAAGCATTATAACAACACTTTAGATATTTTCTTATATTTTCCGATGCGAAAAGCGACGCAAGAAGCATCTTAGACTCTTTATGCTTTGGTAACCACCAACATCTCAAATCAAGGTCTATTTTTCACACTGGTTATGATAAGGTATCCAAAATTTACTTTAGATATTCGATGCCTGCTTGTTGTTTTTATCAATTATCATAGTAATGGACAAAGTTCTTCTTTATCAAGTTGCTACGAAAAGATGGAATAGCACATTTCGTCCACTCGTTAATTTAAAAATCAGGACGAAGACAGCAAGCACTATATAAGAGATGAAGTTAAAGTAATATAATCGAGGTCTCATATCAAGAATCTTAAATTGAAGAAAATAATACGAAGAAGAAGATGAAATTTATAGTGGATCGGTAGAAATTTTACCTAAGATCCAAGGGAGTGATTGTATTTGATGAGCCCAAATTTTATTGAGTCAGACCCAATTAATTAACCAAGTCCAAATTAGTTACAAGGCAAGCCAAACCCAACTCGTGGATTCGGCTCAATCCAAAGTCTAAGGAATTCAAGAAGATTAGAGCACGTGGAGAGCAATCATCGGAATACCCACTCTCTAAGATCAAGACAACCTTTAATTGTACTTACTTTTGGTAACTATCGGAAGAATTAATACGTCTACCCTCACGTTATCGCCTCAACTGGAACTTTACGCCTATAAATTATAAGTTCTCTCTATATGAGAGACACCTCTCTACACACCCCATGCATAATTTCTCTCTCTCTCTCTCTCTCTCTCTCTCTCTCTCTCTCTCTCTCTCTCTCTCTCTCTCGTTCAGCTTATTTAATCAATAAAATGTCCCCTGATCACCGTTGTCGTTTCCCGAACTGGAGTAGGTCACCCGAACCTAACAACTATATATTTATGTGTTGACCCAATATTTACATTATGGTCATTAATTGTTCTATTAATTGTCTATTAATTATATTTTATCACACACTTAACTATTAATCTTGTGTAAGACCGTTTTATGCACCATCAGTATTCATTATAAACTAGAATCCCATAGGATTATACATGTTTATCGGCACTAGTTATCCTATGGTCCAACAAGAAACTCTAGTTCTAGTAATCTGATACACCCAATCGGGTAGGTACACATCGAAAATTCTTCATATATCCATATTATACTACAGGAGGCTACGATGCCCCCAATTAATGGGTATTTTGACTAATAGTATTTTTTTGTCTTGGCTTTATCTTTTTAAAGTCAAAGGTTCAAGTCTCCCTTCTCCTTCCTCTTCTATATATATATATATATATATATATATATATATATATATATATATACTAAAAAAAAAAAGGCTACGATGCCGCCATACCGTGAGGGCTTAACCTATTATTCGACTCTCTGGTAACTAAAAATAGATATCGTTGATGGATTGGTCAGTGACACCTGTTAATTTTTGGGCCCAGCAAGTATGAGTTACCCACTATTCTCAATAAATTTGTGTGAAACCAAACATGGAATAATTTTCAATGGAACAATTTGGTAAAAGGGCATCACGAGTTGTAATGTACTATGATGCTCTCAACCGGGACAACGTTCGTTCCCTGCCCTCTTTGGCCCTTTCACCCACCCTTCTCTCTATTTCCCTTCTTATCTATGATATTTGGTTGAAATTAGTGATAGAGAAATTATCGAGATAGTATAATGTTATGCTCTCTAATTTGTATATCAAAAAATTTATTTCAAAAAATTTATTTCAATTAAGTTGACACGTTCACACACCATATATTTTTACGAAAAAAATTGACTTATTAGGGTCCACAATCTGGTGTGTGAAGGTGTCAACTCATTTGAGATGAGTGTTTCGGGATATAAGTTGGTCAACGTAGTATTACTCGTCGCGGTAACTATCTATCACACGGAGATGAGGGTATTGAAAGTATCCGGAAAGATTTGTAGGCAATTTTACATTGTAATGGGGGAGAAAGATGAAGGAAGCCTATATTTTACATGGGCATTCTTAATTCGAAACAACATCCTTTTCTTTTGGAGTAAATGGTTCTTAACATAATATCAAAGCAAGATATCCAGTGTTTAAATCTCGCTGTCACCTTAGTTATTAATTTTTTTTTTTTCATATATTAAGACTAAAATCTAGCCTACACATAAGGATACGTATTGAAGTATAAATATTGAAATTACACTATCTCCAATAAATTAATCTTTTAAAGTAAATGATTGTTAAATTGACAAAAAAGAGAGTGGTAATTGTGGTGGAGAAAGGGAATAGTCATGCTTAACGCAAAATGGAATATTACAAACATAGATTCTTTGGGAATTTTGTTGGATGTGGGTATAATTCCTTCCAAAGAAAAGAATATAGACATTCACAACTAGGCCTTTTTTCCAAAGTAAATCCCGATTTCTTCCCTCTCTCATCTGAAAGGAATATGCTTTTTATGAGCTATGGACAATTTTACAACTTTCTAAGTATAAACTTATTTTTATCTCCAGCCTTGTTTTTCTTAGCAACTTCTGATTGTTAGGGCATTTCTATGCTTTAAAAGAGGTTTAGGTTTGTAATTTTCACGAAATCCAAACTCGAGGTACCTTTGTTTTTCTTGTTCAATCTCCATGACAAACTTTGTACTATAAGTGTTTATACACTTCAACAAATTAATCATACCATTTTTGAGCTATGAATATGTATGATTGTGCCCCCAAATTTCGTGAAATGTGTACGGGTATTAAAACTAATAATGATTAAAAATGTTAATGTATAGGGAGAATTTAGTACTATGAGTAACAACTTCGTACAGACGGTGAGAAAGTCTTGAATAACCTATATGACAAGAGAAAATTTAGGTGAATCAATGGCCGGAGACAAGAGTACCGAAGGCCTTTATTTATAATGATAGAAAGCGGTATTCCAAAAGAACTCGAATTTTAAGTTATGATAAAATTGACCTCATCACCAGTTTCTAGATGTTCGGAGTAGAGTTAGACTAGAACTCTTATTCCTTAGTCTCTCGTCACCAATTCTTAAATATTCAAAATAACATTTAATTAAGACTCTAAGTCTTAGATTACTCCTTGTGCAAGTAGGACTCGTCTAATGGAGATGAGCAAACAATGGGTGAGAGCCAAGTACCTTCCGGGCCATGGTCACATAACTGCCGGCTGGCTCAGTCTAGTGGAGAGGTCCCCCCACAGCTACTTTTAAGATTTGAACGTGAAGAATCCTCGCATGTTACGAGTAACCTCCTTTTGCAGGAAGATGCCTACGGTAGCCAAAAAAAAATTCCAGTACCATTCATAAACACATACTTAGTGTTGAGAAACTAAGTTACAAATATTCTTAATCAATTCACAATCTAACATAACAAAATTCCTAAAAAACATTATTTTGAATCGTAACTTACCCGAGAAGGTAGCCGTTTCCTTTTACCGAGAAATTAACTAAATAGGAAGGGATTCATACGTTTTTGATCTGTCGTGAATGGTTAGATTAAAGAGAGAATTAATGCGATTAAAGTGATCCAAACACCTTTTTGACCATTGAAAGAGGGAAATAGTAATCATAAGGCTATGTGGCATAAAAGCATTTTTATTGCACAAGTAACACACCATATAACAGATGAGTCAGGATGTAACCAACAGGGTCTCCCCATAATGGCCTCCTCAAACTCAAAAACACACAAAGACACTTTAAATCCCAAACACTCCTTAAAATAAAAGACGAAAGTAAACTAAATAGGCGACATAGCCAAACAAACCCTTAGTAAGACCAAATCTAATTACAGCCGCACAAACGCAAGATACCACAGTACTTCAGCCCATGCGCAATCACACGCTGCAATGGCTTGTACCGTTTTATTCAAAGTAGAAAGTACTACTAATCTTATACTACTCCCGGCCGCAGAGAGGATCAGAGCTTATAGTGCCAGCACAAGACCCGGCATAGATTTACCGACGAGATTCGAGACGCTACTCTCCCAGACCGACGGGCAATGGAGTGACGTAATAGCCGGGAAATCGGACGATGATGATTGGTCTGTGTTCCTCAGGAGGGTAACAGTCAGAGAAGTATTGAAATACTCTCTCACCTGTGTAATTATCCCATCACTGACAGTCCACGCGTGAACCCAATATATTGAACGGTCTTGATCGTAGCCCTCAACGAGAACCGTTGATCCGACGTTGGCAATAGATTGGTTCAAGAACTCGAAGGAGTCGTCGGCGGTGGCAGTGCCGGTGAGCAAGCGCATCATAAACTGGTGGGAAGGCGGGCCATGGAACCACCACTCCAAATCGGAGGCCAAGAGCTTGTGGATGGTGTCGACGTCTCGTGAGCTTAGGGCTTCATATAGGGCGAGCACCACCCTCTGGTTTTGGGTCTCTTCCAGAGTTTTCTGAGAGTTAGCCAGTTGCGAGCTAGCGAAAGAATTTCGAGAGAGAGAGAGAGAGAGTTTTGAGAGGGAGAAGTGAGGAATACATTGGGGTGGGGAGAGGTATTATATAGAGAGAGTGGAGGGTATAATTGGAATTGCAATTATCCTATGACGGTTCGTGGAAATCTATAATGAATTTGTTTTTGGGTTAATCTCATGCAGCTGGAAAGATATTTAGATTCTCACTTTTTACCCTAAAAATATTAAAAATTTTAATTTACACCTTAAACGTTATAAATTTGTAGTAATGTAGATCTAACCCAAACTGTAATTCAATTTTACGTCATAAATTGAAAAACGTGAGGTGCAACTATTTTGAGCACGAGGATGATATATGTTCATTACTGTAGATCTTCGTCTATGATTAATTTAACAACATTTTGTGTATCAAAAATAAAGTTTTATTAATAAAATAGAGACTAAACCTATCATATGCAACTCATATGAGACACAAATAGTTTGTGAATTTATATATAAGTCTATGCCCGAAGCACTTGCAACTCTTGTACTTCAATTAATGACGAAAAACTAAATGATAGCCTAGGTCAAGTTTGCATTGCTATCAATTCATAACATTGTAGAGTATAAATTGAAATTTTAATATTTGATGGTATAAATTGAGAATTGAAACGTCTTTCAGGGCTTAAAGTGAAATTAGTCCTTTATTTTTTGGATTTGTATGGAATGTTAGTAATTTTAATATGATTAATTTAATTAATTAATTAATAACAAAACCATCACTCATAAGCTCCAACAAATCAAAAATCCATTTAATCTAGCTTCTAAGAAAACCAAGCAAAAAGTATTTTTAATTTTATAAAGATGCATCCAATTAAGTCTGTCAATCATGTCAAGTGAATCGGGTCCGTATCGAATTTTAATAAATTCATGTCAAAAAGTTCTCCTTTCATATCCGATTCGTTTATTAATTCGTGTCTAACGAATCATCTTATATTAAGTCTGTGTCGTATATGAATCGTGTATAACCAGTATATAAATGAGTCGTGTGGTGTATTTTTTAATTGGTTTCACTCATACTCGATTCGTTTATTAATTGTGTCGTATCAGATCTACTAATTTATGAAACATGTGGTTTAAGGAAGACTCAAATGCTTTAATTTCTAATTCGTGTTCATGTCGTGTTAACGAATCGTGTTATCTTTTGACACCCCTACATTAATGCAAAATTAAGAATTATCTATTATATAATACTGGTTAAAGAAATTTGTTTTGTTGAAATTAAGTTATTTGTATTTGATAATAAATTGATCAATTTATTATAAATATCAGTGAGTTGCATCATTTTATGTAATTATTAAAAATTGATTCAATCCTAATTGTTATGGTATATCGAACAAAATTTCCTCCACATGCTAAATTTAATTTGTAATCATAAATCTTAGTTTGATTCATTTTTAACCCATTAACTATAAAAATTATAAAATAAAATACTTTTACACATTTAATGTTTTTTTAATAGAAATAAATTTTTAAGTAATATAATTAGACACCAAAAATTATCACCATATTGAGTCTTAAGCAACTCAAGACATCCTGATGTATAAAAGAGCAATTTTTTAGGGTTTAATTGGAATACTTAATTAAAGATTTAATTAATTTGAAAATTTGGTGTAAATAACATTTTCTTATTAGGAAAACTAAGTGATATAGTGTAAAGCACGTATATAGTGCTATAGTTTTAATTTTTTTTTTTTAATTTACGTTTAACCACTTACTCTAATAGAATTTTTCGCCAAATAAAAACTTATAAACACGCTTACGCACCGTAAACTACTATCTGGTGTAAGATAGCGTAGTCCCCACCTTCCCGGTACAATGAGCTATAGTCTTAGTTTAAGCGCATCTTTGTCAATAGGCACCATCATTGAGACCGACAATCCAGTCAAAGCGTGTCCATGAACATCCTAAAGCGGGTCCACTAACCATTATCATAACACCCAGCACAGCGTAACGCGTGTCCATTAACAGCATAAGCACAAAATGTAATTACAAAGAAGATGAATGACAAAGTTGGAAAATTAATTGACAAAATTTAATAGTAGGAGATAGTTTAATATCGAGAGATAAACATACGTAAAACTTATGGATTGATAACAATTTTAACTAAAAGTTATCATATAATTGACTAAATTGTTCATTGATCAATCCAATTCACACTTATATTTGTTTAAGTCCAAATATGGGAGCGGTTGGGGGTTGGAGGTTAGGATTTGATTTGGATAGATATAATGATTTATTAGGAATATAATGGTTAATTTATCTATTTATCTTGGATAAGTAGATATGAAACCCACCCTTGGAGGCTGTTTCGTAAGTGGGATTTTGGGGTGTGTGTGTGTGGGGGGGGGGGGGGGGGGGCTGGGAAAAAATAGTTCCAATGATGTACAAAATTCATGTTTGGCCAAAAATTTGAAGTCATCTGAGTTACCAACCTGACCTGCTATTGACCTAGACCTTAAATCCTAAATTAGGAGTTTCATCAAACCCATGGAGGGGGTGTCGGACGAGGGTTAACGGATTTAAGATATAAAAAGACAATTATATCCAATACGTATACAAATATAAGTTTGGATTAGATTGGTAAAAGGGCACAACAGTCATTTTATACAAATATATTATCATAATAATGCTATATCCGTGAACATATCAAACATGAGTATGAATTTGATTTAATGTTGAATCTAATCTTTGTAAAGAGCGGTTTAAATTTAGAAGGTTTAAATAAATCAATCTAAATTTTTTACAAAAATCTATCCAAACAAGCTCTTATGGGTTTGATAAAACCCATGTATACGGGTCTGATCGACACTATTCACCATGAGCTGATATTTGAATTCTGGACCTTAAATCAAGAAACAAACATGGGTGTAACTGGTTCATTGAACTATTTTGATTAAAGCCCCGAAACAAGCCTCTCATACCCAATGAACAAACAGGGACTCTACTTTCAAGGTCAGTGTAGTATTTCCAGCACTTTTCCTCTTAGATCTGAACACTAAAAAATTCACAATTATCATGTCAATGGCATCACATTACCTCCATAAACTATGTGAATTATCAAAACATAACCACCACAACAATAACAATAACGATTACATTGTTTGAGGAATGTGGAGTTCCTTCCTTTATTGCTCTATAAGTGTAATGCTAAAACATGACATCCACTTAATGCCCACCATGGTCCATATGGCAAAAGAAGAATCAAACTTCATTTCTTTAATAGCTTAAAAATGTAATAGTTGTTCTTTGGGTCACTTCACTGCTGTAATTGTTTGCCACTTTTTTTTTGCTCATTAAAAAAAAGTGGATAAAAGAGAATGTCCAGAGATCACTCCAATAGACCCTCTCAATAATGAGATCATAAGGCTCTTGATCGCATCCATTACTCTTCTCAGAAAGTTAGGCTAATTTAACGGTCAATCACCGAACTCCAATGTAAACTCCAAAACTCGAACCTCCACCCTAGGGTGAGAAGTTTAGTTGGTACCGCACTGGACCACCCCACTCGGTGGTGTAGTTGTGCCACTTTAATCTCTCACACTTTAGTTCAATTCCAAAACAAGGGTTCAAATAGATTGACTGAGATAGTAACACGTGACTCGTGAGACAACACTCAAGAGTCTTTTTTTTTTTTTAAAACTCGAGGGATTAAATTGACATAGATTACAAACGCGATGGATCAAAGTTATAAAAATTATAAACTTGAGGACCAAAGTAACTCCTCAAGTATGATCACGCGAGACACATTATCACCCCAATTAGTCAATGGCTGCCCTTTTCAATTGCATTTTCAAGATCAATTATATTTAGTGGACCATGATGTCTTCATGGAACACAAAGCAAGTAAAAGGAATAGATAATTATTGAACCAAATAAAGGAGGATGCACTATAAATTAACCGAAGATAGGGCCACACTTCACAATCAAAGAACAGCTTGAAGGTTGGCCATGATGGTGACCTATATGCCAAACCACAAAGGAGAAGCTCATCTATGTATGATTAAAAAAATATCTAAAACAGCAAAACCTAACTAGTGAATTATTGCTAGTAAAAGAAATATGTCCAATGAGTAACTAAGACATCCATCAATCAAGGCCAGTGGAGCGAAGGGAGCCAAAAAAACGTGAGCGTCTTTATGCAAGATTTATGAAAAAGGCCTCTTATTATACTATAGATAGGGTGTTAGCATTTTAGTTTGATTGTAAGGACGCACTAGCCTGCTGAAAACCGTAAGGACATCTCTACCCTTAACATATCAAATACATGATTGATGTATAAGATTAAAAAGGATGTCTACTCCATAGCAAAGGAGGAAACTTGTAATGTTCTGGACTCCCATTGGACAATATTTTTTACTTTTTTGGACTAGTCCTACACAACGCTAGCACGATTTGTTCAATGAACGTCCAAAACTAAACTTATTTCACACTTTACACACAATTCACCAGGCGGCTTGCGATTGGGTCACCACAAACTCTTCATGAGTTAACACCATCTAGTGATCAAAATTCAACACATTACCAACTCTACACAGTTTAGTTTTATCAGCTTTTGAGCAATATCATCAGGAACGTTATTCTTGTCATACAGAGATATGCCTTATAAGGTCAATCTTTTCAATATGGTCACCCTCATGTCCTTTCCGGTCCCTCTAATGGCTTGAATCAGCAATGCATTAGGACTCCCACTAAAAGGAACTGCTCCAATTCCAATATGCAATACCTACCACCACTCACAAGCACTTAACCCCAATTCTTCCACACCGTTCTGTAGAGAGGAAAAAGAAGAAAGGGAAAAACACCCCCAGGGGGAGGGGGGGGGGGGGTTTAAGAGATGGCAAAAGATAGCAGCAGCAAAGGATGTAGAAAGAGAAAAGCCAAACCTTACATCTTATTTCAAGGACCTCTGCTACTAAGTCTGTCCAAAAGCAGAAGTATTCAATTGTATACCTGCTAACCGTGTGCTCCCAGAAGATGTTTGTGGCCAAATTACAACGTGAATGCATTGTTTTTAACTCACAGTACTGTGGGGAGAACCAGATTTCTAGAGATTGTTAAGCCAAAAATAAGCAAAAGGATATGATAACCAACCAAAGGTGTTAAAACAAATTCAGCTTTCATAGAACAAAGCAAACATCTTCAAAGATTGGCCAAACCATTTTCGCTAAGAACAATTACATGAACAATTTACAACATTACAACAATGATAAAGGGGGGTAAAATCAACAATCTTTGACCTTTGTCTTTGATTTTATCCACAAGTTGTCACCAGCACTAAGGTCTTGTTTTCCCTAAAGCAAGAGCTCATAACCTATTTGTTTGACCTCTTGATATAACTTATGAGCTCATTCATAATCTTCTCTGATACAAATTATTAGCCTACAAAACCTTATGATATGTAGGAGAACCACAATCATTCTGGCATTCGTGTTATACATGCAAAACAAACTGCAACAGTTGTGGTAATTGTGACTTGATTAAAATAGTGTGCAGAGGACCATAAATTGGGATTCTGAAACATTGAACTAAAGCCATGGTTTTCTTAGCCATACCTATTTAAATCTATCGCAGTCGATGTTGTCATCCATGCATATCCATCAATAACATTGTAGAATTCTCATTGGTGCATGACCAGAGGAAGAAGATTGAAAAAAGAAGAGAGAATGAGAAGAAGAGAAGAATGTTCCAAAAGAAAGAGTGAAATTCAAGAAGAGAAAAAATCCAATTTCAATTTAAATATGCAATATCCAATGGCATAACTATCATCAAGACTGAAAAACCATTACATATACCTGTAATACTAATGTGTAGGCAGCCCCAAAAGAAACTAATTAATAGTTAGCAAAATGAACATAAGAATAATATTTGAGTTCTTGAATCAATAACTAAACCGAACTAATTCTAAATAGCAGAATAGTAGTAAAATTAACTCGCTAGTATTTCCTAATGGAAAATGCTGTAGTTAGGAACGGCCTTCTCATCACAATCAAAAGAACTTACAAATACTAAAAGCTGACATCCGATGCTTAATCCAAGTCAAGATTCCTCAGATAGAATCAGTAATGGCTTCTTCAACTGCACGATTTCTATAAGGTGCCGCTTACCCCAGCTGGAAAAGTCTGAAGGTAGTTATACATCTGACCTTGCCTTCATTCTGGTGGGAACTTGGACAACTAGAGGTATCCGAAGGACAGCCTTCATTCTTCATTATATAGCCCATTCTGTGAAGGACGGCACAGGCTCACCCAACAGATTGAAAAATGGCGGAGCATAGGAATCTGATTTCCTATGAATTTTCCGCCAGGCTTCTAGTGCTTTTCAATTGGTTTGACCGGTATAATAGACTGATTCACTGCTGTATCTTAAGACTGAAATTACAAAAGAACAAAGAATACGCCAGATAATTGATTAGGAGAGCATTACTGTCCAATTAATCTCAAACTAAGAGTGAAAACTACCTTTAGGGCTGGGTTTTTTTTTTTTTTTTTTTTATGTTCATATGAAAGCGAGAGGTTGTAAAAGTCCAACACAGTCATTCACCACCAGAAGCCCCTGCAGTTGTCTTTCTGATATAGAAGTAAATCCTCAAGAAAGCATTTTACAGAACAATATCATGGGGAGATCTGATAGCCTCTTGATAGTGATTCAAGAAGAAACGAATAAATCAACAATCAGGATCCTGCTAACTTAAATGAATGAGACAAATAAAAGATTAACAGGCACATCATATTTGATTCTATATAACTAACCTAATAACACAACTGTCAATAAAGCATTAACACAACAATGAATCCAAATGGAAATAAAAACGACAATATTACATGGAAACTAGTGTCTGAGTATAATCTTCACAAGCCAGATAAATAAGATCGAATCTTGAAGTATACACACAGTAAGTACACTGAAAATAAATATGATGTATAACATTGACATCTTTTCTCTGAATCATTTCATATTACAAACCATGACACCATTTCAAAATTGGTTTTTGCTAATTTGCTCCTCTTTGTATAAATGAAGGAGCAGGTGGGGTCATAGTTTCATCCTCACCTCTCTTAGAAGATTCTTCTTCGACTGAAGAAAGCTGCCTACCTGGACTAGAATATTCATTCAAAAAACTACTGAGACTTGGAGAGTTAGCTTTCATAATCTGGGATGGAGGGGAATTGTTCCCAAGAGGAGAACTTGTGCCAGACCTATACTGTAGTTCTCCATCTTCACGAGGCAAAGGCATCATTGGTGACTGGCCAAGGTCATCCACTTGTTTCATGCAAAACTTATCCTCCACAATATCATAGGAATTCCCAGTCCGCACTTCCTGAGCAAGCGAACACCAACAGCAGAAAAGCCATAATGCACAATCAGTAACAGCTGATTTACCACAACAGAAACTATATGGGGGCAAATTGAATCTCTTCCTCATTTGAATCCTCCAAAAGCCACCATAGAGCAAACCAAATATGCAGAGGAAAATCCCAGAAACCCCCAATAACTCCCTGACAGCCTCATTATTAATGTTAATGGCAGCCAAATTGAAAATCCAAAAGGGGGCAATACAAAACAGAAGAAAAGTTGCAATGTGAACATACATGTTCCCAAACCCAAGTCTCTCCATATTCCACCCAAAAACACAGAAACTACAAAATAATGAGAGATAAGCTAGAGAGATATCATCCCAAATATCAAGTATTCCACCACTCCACTTTGGTCTACTCTCCACAATCCTCCCCTCATCCCTGATTGCAAAGGAGAATCTCTTCTCTAATGATTTCACCCTTAACTGGCTTGGTCTGCTGGTTTCCGCGGCAGTAATCTGAACTTGTGCTTCTTCATCCAATTCAGAATCATACTCTCTCCCAAGGGGACTAGTAATTGAGTAGACACCAGCAATTGCAGGTGCAGCAATTGCAACAGATACAGATATTCCAACTCCAATTGCGGGTCGCTCTGATCTCTTGAATCCCAAATTAAGGCCGCACAAAGCATATTGCGCGAAACAGTTAATGTGGAGTAGAAGAACAACCACCATCATGTGTGCCCATTCATGGGGCTTATAAGTCCCATTCTTGCAGTAAATTTTTCTGAGTTTGGTAATGTCTTCGGGCCTCCATCTCAACAGAAGTACTAGGTGATAAATTCGCTTTGGGTGCTGGTATAAACACATAAGAGTAAACAGCGCATTAAGGATTTGATTACTAACTTCAAACCAAGCATCTCTTTGGGACCTTTTTGGCAGGGCATGGTTTAACATTCCGACCATGACAAGGAATAAAATTGCTCCTGAAACAGCAACACAAGTGATCCAGATGAATAGAGCCATGTTCATTGGGTCCCTTAACCATTCCTTGCTGATTTTCCAAAGGGAGGTCCAATCAATTTTCCGACTGAAGACTCTATTAAAACGTTCATGCAAATGATGACTTGTGGAAGAAGGTACAGTGCGTGAAATCTCATCCTTTTCTTCAGCAATCCGATGAAATTTTGCAGATGGGGAAGCCAAAGAACCAAATTTGAGGGACCTCATTCTCTTGGGAAGAGCAGAGAAACCATCATGGAACTGATTTTGAGGGTTTTCACCACTTATTAGTCCCCTTTGAGACGCTGAGATGTGAATAGGAATAGGACCCTCGACTTTAGCACCATTAGATTCCTCAGTTCCACTATTATTTTCGCCATTCTTAGTCAAAACCATTCTTTCCTTCTATGATTTCTTTTGAGCACCTAAAGAACTGAAACTTCAATTTGGCAACCTCATTTTAGAAAGCTGTGTGCAATGCCCATCAACTCAAATCAGAAAGTCCAAATTATCACTCACAAAATACCCAATAAGTCAATTAGCAACCAAATGAAACTTGCTGCCAAGAAATAAGGGAAGAAAGGAATCTAACCCCAAAACATTAACTTCAGATTAAAAAGTCAAAACCCCCATCCACTATATAATATTTCTGCATTCAATTTGAAGAACTAAACCTGTAGAACCTATCCCAAATTTGTATTAGTTTCTTTTTTTTTTTCTAGCTCGTTCAAGTATAATATTAAACAAATAATTCCTTGACTTAGCCAACATACATTACAATTTACACAGCAAAACTCAAAATACATTCATAATGAAAATGAATACAACAAGGATGTGATATATCAGACTCAAACTTGATATAAGTTTCACTTCAATTACAATTTCCTCAATGAAAATTAATCGAGAGACAGAACCAATTCATCTATATAAACATGAGGAAGAGAGAGATAGACCTTGATAAGTGTATAAGAAGATCTAAAAGCTTAAAACAACACATACCTTATGGATTGACGGAGAAGATGATTGGATGAGACTAATCTCAAGCAAAGCTGGAGCTCCTTTCTTCATCCATGAACAGAGAGAATTATTCGAGATCTCTGATTCTATTGCTATTTTACTTCCTTAAACTCAAAATATCACTAAAAAAGCAAGTGGGTATTGTTTGTAATAGCAGGAAACAACGGTTATATTGCTCCATAATTACCTGGAAGAAAGGATTGAGAGGGTTGGGGGCTGTCCAAGTGGCGTAGACCTCCGGAAAAGTATATAGAAGCTTTAATGTTCTTTCTATCTAGAGGAGGAGGAGAGAGGACCCACTCTCTCTACACTAGCGGGTGTGCCCCACTTTTTGCTAGCGATTGACTGGCAATCTAATTGAATGCTGCCACGGAGGCGTAGAAGGGGGCAAGTGCTAATCAACCCAAAAAAATCATTATTTGGGTTTCATTTTTTAAAATTGAGTTAATTACCGTTTTAGCACTCCAACTATATTATTTACATCAATTGAGTCATTAATTATGTTTTTGTGTCAATTTAACTCTTAAATTATATAATTTGACTCGATGTAACCTTTTTGTCCAAATTAACTGTTATTTTTGACAGAAACTCTTACGTATACGTTATGTAACTTTTAAATTATAACCTAATTTTCGAGTCATGTGACACATAGAAATTTTTTATCAAAGTTAACTGCGAATTTTGACTGAAAGGTCACATTGAGTCAAATTACATAGTTCAGCAACTAAATTGACCCAAAACATAATTTAGAGACATAATTGACATAAACCTTATAATTCAAAAATCAAATAGATAGTTAACTCTTTAAAATTTGAGTTAGTCTTGGACAAAAAATTCTCATTCATGTCGTACTTAGATTGAAATGTTGGGTTCATGTGTTTAACCTAAACTGAATTGCTAAAATTTGGGTTCAATTTGATTTCAACTTGCCATATTTAGAATAATGACAATGTTAACATGATGTAATTGTTATACCCAATATTTACTCTCCATGAATACATAACCATACACAACCACAAACAAAAGCATCACCTAAAAATTTGGAAATGCAATGCTTAGAAAGATTTCTAGAGAAGTTTCTTGTAGGAGCCAACCCACGACTATTTCGAATCATATACAAAAGGGATGTTGTACCAGCTCCTTCTACGGTTCTACCTAAACCACAGTTGAAGCACCAAAAGAAAATTTGGTGTCTTTCTAGTTAGTAATAGAAGCAATTGTCCCCACTGCCGTAAAATAAGAGCATATGGCTTTGCCCATTCACAAGGACTCGATTGTGTCCAAACATCACATGCCAACGGATGTGATCACCGTCATACGTCCACAAGATATAGTGTTTGGAGAGGTGGATAGATAGAACTACTAATTGCTCGATCAGGACCCCTGGCTTTATTGTGAGCCAAAAACGTTGATCTACATTATGGTAGTTATGGTTATGGATAAACCATAATAAAGAAGAAAGGAAAGCCTCCACGTTTACATCACCATTAAAGCTTAGAGAAGCCTCTAAACCAACTATGGTATAATACGAGATGGGATTATGCAGTGGATATCATTGGACTAATTTAGTCCAAACATTCTACCTAATACCCAAACCAAACACGCCCAAACAGCATTCAACCAAAACAATGTGCCCTTAAATTCACTTATTTCAAACATTTTAAGTTCATACAAAAGCCTTAAAAACTTCATTTCAATTACATACTCATACTTGCAAATGTACACACGCCAGAAACAACTAGATAAGTCTAGGCCACCGAGAACATGGAGCAGAATGCAACGTTGGAGAGAAATACAGATCACAGTCATTCCAAGAACAATAAATCAGGTAAGATCATCCTCCTCCAACTCTTTCGCCTTCAGTGATTCTTTCACTCTCAGCAGAAGAGTTGTCTTCCAAGCATCCTATGGAACAAAACATAGGAACAAAACAATTCAAGGAAATTGAAACATTTATGAGTTAAAAGAGAAAAACAGCCAAACATATGCCTATTCTTCAGAACAACAATACAAGTTTTAGCATTACCAGTTTCAATCTCGATCAGAATTGAAAAAAAAAAATGTGACATACAGCATTATATAAATCAGCAATATCCTCAGACGAAACCAGAAAAGTGGTATCATAATTTACAGCAACAGATATCAACAATGCACTTGAACTCATTCAACAATGTTTACACAAACCTAGTTTCTTACATGTAAATTTTTTGCCATACACCCCTACAGGAGTCATCCTCCATCAATCCCAAAGCAATCATGTTCTTGTCATTTTCTCAACTTGGAACCTTCTTGTCGTATCAAATCAACCCATAAATTTCTTCAAGGAACTATGTTGCACTTGGCCAAACCAGTAAAAGAAATTTAATATTGCAGATGCGACTTCTAACTCCTCATAGCCGCATTCATTTCCTGATATATCATATATCTCATCCTACATTTTTCATCCAACTTCACATATTTTCTTTTCGGCACTTTTTTTAAACCACACATATATTAAGGAATTGCATGCAGATGTTAGATTCTGTTGCTAAATCTACCTTATACATCTTCATGAAAGTGATATTGGAATCCATTCACTTTAACTAAATTGTTGCAACAAAAATTGGATTCATGTCAGATTAAACTAGGTAACTTTTGTCCGCAAAATACTACAAACTAAAAAGAAAAAAAAAGGACCAGAAAAATTCAATATAAATATAAACTCCATTTACCAGCTGGGTCATGCTATCAAATTCCTTGACAGCATCAGTGAACCTTGCAACATCTTCCTCATCAATTGCAGCAGCCAAATCCTGCCATCGGGAAAGCAATCTTATCTTACAAGCAAACTTTTTGCTAGCACGACAAAGAGTATCAAAAACCATCAAGAAGAGCAATAACTAGGTAAAAGGTGTTGATGAAAAGCAATCCAAATGTGGACTTGAAATAAAAGGAATCAATTTCCAAGGAAATAGGTAGTGGAAATTCACCATTATAAGAGCAAAAGGACACAAATCAAAACCAAAAATAGACCTGAGAAACCATGACATACCGCTAGCAATTTGTACTCACGCGTCCCAGAAAAGGTTGGATCCAGTTCCTGCAAATGAAAATGCAACATTTACTCAGCATAAACCACCAGTAACATAAACTCAAAATGCATGACAAATGCCCAGCCTAAAAACCTGATATCGCTCCAATGCATTGGTAACTGCAACAACATCGCCTTTACAGAGTTGGCAAATGCCAGCATTAAGGAGATGTCCTTTCACTCCATACTTCAACAGGTTATTGCTGAGAGACTGTCGTGCTATCTCTTCGTATATCTCAATTGCTTTTTGATACCTGGACAAATATTGTCATCATGTTACTCCTTTACTAGCACAATTTTTATTCTTTATTAACATTATTGTTCATCAATTAAAAGCTGTAGTAATAATGTATAGGCTTTTAGGGATCACAATTGTAAGCATTCCTAGAATGGCACCAAGAAGTCAACAAAAAACCACCATATTGAACTTTAAATAAGGAAAGAGCAGCAAAGAACCAGAACTTAAATTATGTCTCCTAATCCCACAAAGATTCAAAGCACTTGTCAAAAAATTCTGCATTATAGTGCCCATAACCAGCAAATGGAAAAGGAACACTAAGTGGGATCAAAGAAACTAGCGGACCGTTAACTAAATAGATACAAATAGGTGCAAATTCTGACATCACCACAACCCACTTGGTTCTCTCGCTCCTTTGCTCACAGAGCGGCATACCGGAAAAAAAGAAGGATTCAATCCAGCCCAAAGGTTCTCCCTACAGCTACCTTGTTGCGAACGAAAGCCAAGCCCCCCTTATTGGTTGCGACAGAGGATGTCTAAGATAAAGTGCATGTTCATGTGCCCATAACCAAGCCGCTCAAAAAGAACTAAAAATAATAAATGCGAAGTTTACACATGCATGAACACTTGTAACTACACCCACCAAAATTGTAGCTTCCCAAATGAAATGGGGTAGGCAAATTATTAGAGTCACATTTAGATTATCCATCAATGTATCATCTACTTTCTCCAATAACTTTCCATGCAGAAATCTAGGTTATAAAATATGTGACGGATGCACCACAGAATGAATGTGAGAACATAAAGTCTTCAAATGTTACATAACAGCACAATAAATATATACACACAAATTGACAGGGTTACCGTTCTAATTGAGCAGCGAATTGTGCAATTTTCTGTTTGCACTGATTCGCAGAAGTCGTCACGTCTTCACTTTGGAATAGATCAGTTGCTTTTTCATAGTACACAATAGCCTGCTCCAAGTTTTGATCTTGTTCATACAATTCGGCAATTTCCTGCACTCAAAAGAAACCAATTACAAGTCATCACCATATCCTCAATGCAATGATCGCAGCAGTATTCTACATGGCTATAACAATAAGGCCAATTATACATCCATGATTATACGGATTAAAACTGTTGCAAAAGAAAATGTACATCTTAGAAAGAATAATACCACTAGCCACCAAGAATTCAGTGACACATTTAGCAATATAGCTTATTCAATGACCAGAAGAAGCTAATAAATACTGTACCTTGTAATATCTTGCAGACATATTAAGCCTTCCAATATCCAAAAACAGATTTACTGCTTGCTCTAGGCAAGAGATTGACTCTGCAGTGCATCCAATGTTACCAAGGAGAAGAAATCTCTTAGGTTAAAATAACCTAAGAAAAGAGCCAGAAATTTGTGTGATATGCAAGTGAAAATACCACATGATTATAGAAGTATATCAAACGATCCAAAAACTTGATTTACATGCAATGTTTTCATAAAATGATGGATCTGAAGCTTGCCAAGATCAGTTGAGAGGAACATAAAAAACCAATTAAATATGACCAAATATGTAGTAGGAATGAATAGTTGACAAATGACTAGGCAAGAAAAATGCTAAAAAGGTGGCCCAGTGCACAAGACAAGGTCAACTGGACACATTCTTACATCTCGCATGTGGAGAAATTGTTTCTGCAACTTAAACCCTCAACACCCAAATTACAATGGAACAACCTTATCACTTCACCAAGACACAAGGTAGGAAATAATCATGTTTCCAACAAGTAGGTATTAGATAGAGTGCAAAACTAAGGACAAGCCAAAAGTCAACTATGTAAGAACATGCAGTGCTTTAAATTCAAGCCAAAAGATCCATTCATCAAACTAGAAGGGAGTGGCACTGATTTTCTGAAAACCCACTGGAAACATTTAATATACCAAATCGAACAGCCAAGCTTTTGGAAGGAAGCGTTAGATAGGGTGATAGTCCAAGAAGTAGAGCAAAGTGATATTAAGGAGGTCAGCAAATACCATACCTTTAGTATTTGTCTTCTTATAGCAATGAGCGGCATCAGCATAAGCATTGGCAGCTTCATGCTTGCTATCCAACTGTTAACATAAAGGCAACATGGTCATTCAAGCTAGCAGTAACAGAGATTCAAAGGAGTATGCATAGGAAACAAAGTAGACAGAAAATTCCTAGTCCCAGCAACATGAAGCACTTACCTTTAGGTGACAGTTGGCCAACTTGACATATACAGCACCAGCTTGATCCCCTGAAAAACCACATGATGTAATAAACACTCGCATACAATATTGCTGCACATAATTTGAACAAGTGACTTGAGATCTATAATATAAAACAAGGCAGACTTCAATAAGCCTATCCAACGGTCTCAAATAGACTAATCCAACGGTCACCAACTTTTCTCTCTAAACCATTCACAAGGCACGGGTTACACCTACTAGTATTATATATCTAAATCACATAGCTTCCTACGCAATCAGATAAATTATAGCAAAGTGGATGGTCTAAATCGTATAAATGAAGAGCTGACAACTTGGTAGATAACAGTGTATCAATTAAAAATTCTCTAGAATCAACCAAGTATGGATACGCTGGTTTTTCTCAGGGAGAGTTACACTAAATGTGGTGATGATAAACCTGTAATCTTCCAGATCTACATGAGTGTCCACAGCCCCTAGGGTAGAGACCAACTCAATGAAGTGGGGCTTGTCTACCTCCGAGGCATAATAGCCGTATATATATTGTTCCATAAAGCAACACTTAATAAACACTAAATTCAATCTACAATAACATCCAACATTGTAGTAAAACAATCACTTCTTTATCTCTTTCCAACGAGTTCAGGTCAACTATTAGAAATTCTAAATCCTTTATTAAAAAATAAAAGATCCAAACACATCTAAAAACCATAAAGCACACCGTCAATCGGCCGTTAAAAATTATCATAAATGATCACTAACTAACCTCCGATTGAATTCAATCAAAACCCTAAATCGAACCAAAATCAATAAAATGAAAACAAAACAGTATAACAGTACATTTTTTTTCCCAATCGCATCGGTACAATGACCATTGATTGCGAACAAGAAATACAGAAATATGCACATCATATGTGGTTAGGTAGTACATGATTTGGCGAGTTTGAAGGCATTGGCAGCTTTATCGAACAAATCAGCAGCGTCTTCGTATTTGGAACTGAAAAGGCCCCAACTGGTGAGCTTCTTCTCTGCTTTCCTCTCTAATTCCTCCCCTCTCGCTGCCTGATCGGCCATTTTCGGAACTCTCTGTCCTCACACGGTGCCGCAGAGAAGAAATCGGTGAAGAACTTGCTGGTAATCGAAAAGCTAAAAGCGCTTCCACCGAAAAAAAAAGACGAAGAAAAGCTAAAAGCGGTTGGTGATGTCACAACTCACAACAAAACTTGCCCTTGTATTGCCAAAGTACAAATGGCCCAAGACATGAAAGGTCCAAGTTTTTGAGGCCGGTGGTCAGAAATCGAGTTTGGGAAATTTAGAAGCCGGCATCCACACGTACAAAACCCATCGAGTTTTGCAAGCTGGAGCGTTTTTAAGCTCATTTGTTTTAGGTGAATTTAAAAAGTTATTTAATTTCTGCTCATTTAAAAAATAAATTGAGCCAACTATAATCCGAATCGAGCTCGACTAATTAAACTATTTTATATATAAATTAATCAATAAACTTTTTTAGGCTCAATTGAAAATTTTGTTTGAATTCGAATTATTTAAAAAATGAGTCAAGTTTGAGTCGAGTCGAGTCCTATACAAGTTAAACTAGAGTTAAACCCGAGTAACTTGATTTAATTAATAACTCTAGTCAAAGTAGGAAAAATTTGGAATTAGTGAATTGTTAACTCGATAACTCTATCAACTCAGAAGAATAACAAATGTAGGGACCGGTCTTGAATTGGGGAAAGGAATGCACGACTTTCTTCCTCATCTTTGCTATGGAAGATTAGGCCACATAAAAAAATTAAGAATGTATTTCAAACATATTCTAAAATATTGTTCCCAACATTCCGAAAATATTTTGAAATATTTTAAAATATTATAAAAATGGGTTAAAATATATTAAAATATCTTAAAATATTTCGAGATATCTTGAAACATTAAAATTTTAATTCAATTCTAGATATGTTTCACTCTCCTTTACAATAGAAATATTTTAATCATTTTCGACCGTTTTGAACGGTATTTTTATAATTGATGGTGAGTTTCAAGTTGGGTTTGGACTGTTTGGTTAGAGTTTGGGCCGAGAGATCCACCCCATTAAGTTGGGCCAGTATTTGGAGATCATTTGAAAAATAAGGAGAAATTTGAAGTCGATCCTCCTATATAGATTTATTTGGAGATAAATTCGTCAAAAAAATTTATTTGGTTTTAAGTTTATTTTTTTGTCAATTTTACTATTGTAACTCTTCCCTGTATAAATGTTATAAATGACATTTATGGACACAATAACCAGTCATATACATCTCCTTTATAATTGCCTTCAAAATCGATTACAATCTTCCAAGGCACAATGTTTCCTTATCCGAAAAATAAAAAACCGATATTTACAAAAAATCGTTCATATTCAAATTTCAAACCTATTTTATTCCATAAAAATACAATTTTAATTACTATTCAAGTTTACCATGGGCTCCATTGACAAAATATTAATATTGAATATTAATATTTCAAAAATAACAATAGTAATATACTCAACAAAGACAATAACATGGTCACAAAAAAATAGTAACATGGTAAAAAAGTAATAACAATTAGAGATTTAATTCTATCAAAATAGGCATTAACCTTGTAACCAATATTCAAGAGAACTATACATTAGTACTAAATTAAAGTGTTATAAATTTTAATTTTGTTGATTTTTTTGTTGTGCAAGACAATTGAGTATTCCTTGATTGTGTTATTTTGAAAAAAGTTGATGTCATTATACGTGAATCGAAAAATGAAATTCAGAATTTCGATGTCTTGATGTTCACAATTGGTGTTAAGTATCGTAATTCAACTATCGATTGTGTATTATTACTTATCATTTTGTAAATTTTCAATTTATGAATCGTATTTTTACTAAAATCATTTGAAAATTGGTGTTACTGTAAAAAAAACTATTGTCTTGTATTTTGTAAAATTATATGTGTTATTGAGCACAAAAATTTGATATTATTGTGAATATTAAAGTGTATGTTATATAATATACATCTCAAAATTCGCAATTGTACGTTAAAATTCACTATATTAACATTAGTGTCAATATAATAACACAATTCTAATTGTAACTTCAATCATATAGTAAAATGAATGTTACTATATATTAACATTCGTGTTATTGATCTCTATTGACATTATTCAGCCTCCCTATATTATGCATTACTGTTGTTAAGGAAATTTTGTTATTTGATTTTGACTTAACAGATCAACAATTTATTCGTACATTACCGCTTTCCATATAAAACTATCAAAATATATAACTCTCATATAACATTTTTGTTAATTATCATAATGTTTAATAAACGGTTTTCATATATAACTCAATCAAGGGTTTCTATATATACCTCAATAATCTAACCTATGTAACTTTTCATAACTAGAAAAATTAACACCGTTAGGGGTAATTTTGAGATTTAAAAAAAAGTGAATTTAAGTACATACATATAAGTTTAAACATAAACTTATCTCATAATAAATTTTCTTTCAGGATTCAAGTCATTATAAGTTCATCTAAAAAGACTCATCCTCAATTTTCACAAAAAATAAATTTATACATTAATCTAAGGAGTGCTTTGTTTTCATCAAAGAAATCTCACTGTTGGTAAAATACAAATTATATAATTAAACGTTGCAATTTTAAACTTGACATGAAATTAATAGGTTTCTATTCAATTTAAGCTGGTTTGGGTGATAATTATGTGGACTCATTAAACTATGTCAAATAAATAGATTGATATAAATTTATCTAAATAAAATACAAACCATTTTATTCAAACTCTAAAACGAGATGCCACACTAACCCGATTATACATTTTGATTTATATGTGTTTGTTTTCACTTGAATAAATTTTCACATCAAATAGATATGACACATCAAAGGGTGAGGATTGAAGATGTTTTTATTGCAAGAGGCTGTACCTATTTGATAAAAATAATTTAACTTAAGGTGCAGTTCAAGTGATAATAAGGAAAAATTGTAAATTTAAATATTTTAAATTTAAATTTTGACAATCCTTTCAAAGCATACTATTAGAAATTTATTTCTTATAAATACCTTAGTCCTAACTAGACTTATCAATCGTATCAAGTGGAACAATTTTGTGTTAGATAAAACAAGTTCTTGTTAAAAAACTATTCATCCATACCGCATTTGTTTATATCAAACGGGTCTAATTATCACACCCGTAAGCGATTCGTTTATTAAACGGATTATTGTATATAACTTGTGTGTCATGTACTAAATAAGAGAATCAGTTAGGGTATTTTAAATTCATACAAAAATCATCAACTTGTTACACATTATATATGTTTGACGTATCTATTATAATAATAAATTATGGCTAAATAAAAAATTAAAAAAAAAAATAAACTTTACATTACTGATGTTTATTTAAATGAGAGGCGTGAGATAAGACAGAAAGATCTAATTTTTTTTTCAGAATTTATAGTATCAATATTAATGGGTTAAATGAGTTAAAACGAGTTTATGAATTAAACACGAAATTGATTCATTTATTTTATGAATTTATTGAATTAATCCGTTAACTATGTAAATGTTAAATTTATGTCAAGATGGTATCGAATTTATGAATTGTGTCTAAAATTATCGCACTTAATCCGAATGTAAATAATATACCTGTAATCGAGAAAATATTAGTCCAGGAGCGGTGGCCGACACCTCATGTCGTTGAAACCAATAAGACAAAAAATCATTCGGCATAAGACCGGTCGAGTCGATTTTCATTCATCTTCAAACTGGACTATCTCTCTCTCTCTCTCTCTCTCTGTGGGATCTGGGAATTGAAGAATAACACCTCAGCGAGGCACTCCCAAAAGATACTCCGGCGGAATCGAAGATAGACAATCTTTTTAAACCGCGAAGTGGTAATGTTTTTGCCGCAACTCCTGCCCATCAGATTTAGCTTATGCCTTTTAGCAGGACTCTTGATGAAACTTCGAATAATGGCGTAAACCGATTAAACAAAGTTTAACCATAGAATCGTATGAGCTTCAACTACATCTTTTTTCTTGTTATCTTCAGTAATTGTAACAAACAAGTTTTGGGCAGTGCCATGAAATTCCACTGGCTGTTCTTAATAAATTGCAGAAGCACTATTTGTATAATGGGTTCACTAGGTAAGACTTGCTAATGTGTCTGAATCATTGTTTGTACTGGTTTAGTTTGATGCATCAACATTTTTGTCGCTTTTCTAATTGTTTATAGATTAGAAGATAAAAGGGTTATCGCTTCCGTTGATTTCATGTTCTGTTGTTCACAAACGTCACTAACCTTGGCACTGTCATCTTCATGTTTTGCGGCGCATGTGGTTGTTTATGAATCGCTTCTACATCTTCAACAATAGCTTAAGGTTTTGAAATCTGAATTGAATTGTAGGTTAACGTACAACAAAATAACTGTTAATTCTTTTACTAGTTGTTGCCTTAATGATGTCAATTTAGAGAATCCCAAATCTATATTTGAGGAAAAAAATGCTGATTTTGGAGATGGTTATTTTGACTATGGCAGGTGAATAACTGTAGATTCTCTTGCCCAATTCATTATATTGTTATACCATGATCTCGAATCTTATCTCTACATAAATCTGCATGTGTGTTCTGTGCTGTACAAAACTAAAACAACTCTTTTGAAGATTTTATATTGCATCCTTGTCCTTTTCACATCTTGAGAACAACTAGTTTTTAGTGGTGGGTATTGTGCATGGTCACTGGTTTTATCTTGTTAAGCCATCCTGTCTTTTTGCACATTGTAGTCCATACTCCACCCTACATCATGTTCTTCATTTAAAGCAAGTTTACATAATTGACAACAAAAACTAAAAAAGTTATATCAAAGTACACCAAAATTATCTGCATGTTAGTTGTTCCAGTTTTTTAAAACTTAATTTGCATCAGTTCATGTGATTGGTAATTATTGTAGATATATGTATACAAAGACAACAACAGTCCCGGATACCATAGGATGAGGGCAAGGCAGAAGGATGCTGGAGTACTTGCTCCACTCCTACCTGAGACCCAGTCACCGGAAGATCAAAGGTTTGAGGATGCATCAATTTCTGGCGCAATATTCAACATGTCCACCGGAATGATTGGTGCTGGGATTATGTCAATCCCGGCAACTTTCAAGGTCTTAGGCATAATTCCTGGTTTCCTTGTCATCCTAGTTGTTGCTTTCTTTGTGGAAGTCACAGTTGAGTTTCTCTTAAGATACACACGCTCAGGTGAGTCAAGTACCTATGCTGGTCTGATGGCAGAGTCATTTGGAAAGTTTGGATCAGTTGGACTTCAAATTTGTGTCATGATCACCAACCTGGGTGCTCTAATTATATATCTGATAATAATTGGTAAGCTGCAGCTTAGTCTAGCAATGTTGATTGGTTGGCTATAGTGAATTTGATCACCAACCTCTGCTGGCCTGTTGAGAGGGTCATACTGACTATTTGCAATAATGTTTGGGTGTCTTTCTTAGGAGATGTTCTCTCAGGGAATCAATCTGATGGATCCGTGCACCTGGGCATTCTACAAGAATGGTTTGGAATCCACCGGTGGAACTCCCGTGCATATTCACTCCTTTTTGTTGTGCTCTTTGTTATGCTTCCATTGCTTTTGTTACGGCGTGTAGGTCAGTAATCATAATTGGGCATAATGTTTTTTTGATTAGCATCCATATTCCTACCTAAGATTACCAGTTAAATATGCCTAGAAGAGTTAGTGTTCCAGTAATCAAAACTAAAGGACTTGCACGGTTATGAGCATGGCCAAGAGCAGGGGAAACTACTAAAGATAAACGACCATTATTTAACTGTAATGTTATTTTTTAAGCATAATGAACTTTTTTCTCTTCTTGTTACCTTCAGATTCATTAAGACATGCTTCAGCAATATCTATTCTCCTGGCAGTGGTGTTTGTCGTTATATGCTCAGGGATGGCGTTATATGCAATGTGGGAAGGGAAAACACAAAGATTAAGACTAGTGCCTGATTTTGCCAATGGAGTCTCTTTCTTTGATCTTTTCACTACCATTCCAGTCTTTGCAACGGGATTTGGATGCCATGTAAATGGTAAGAGTATGTTCATTTTACTATGACTTGTAATACTTCCTGTTACACAAGTGCCTTGTATTGAAGTTTAAGCTCTTGAGGATTTGCTGAGTTGCCAGACAAATAAAAAGTGCTGTAAAAGTTCAATTATGTAAATTCAGCTATCTTTAATTTCCAGTACATGATGTTTGGGTAAACAAATGCAGTTCATCCTGTTAGAGCAGAGCTTGGTAGACCATCTGATATGGGCTCAGCAGTCCGGATTTCTTTGATACTCTGTGTTGCCATTTACTTTGCTGTTGGCTTCTTTGGCTACCTACTCTTTGGGGACTCTATTATGGCAGACATGCTTGTTAACTTTGATCAAAATTCTGATTCCATGATAAATTCATTACTCAACGACACTGTTCGGTTAAGTTATGCTATACATCTTATGCTAGTCTTTCCTGTCATGAACTTCTCTTTGAGGGCCAATGTGGATGAACTGTTCTTCCCAAGAAAACCTCTTTTGGCCACAGACACTATCAGATTTGTATCTCTTACATGTATTCTACTAGGTTTCATATATGCAGCAGCAATAGCCATCCCGAATATCTGGTACTTCTTTCAGTTCATGGGGACTACCACAGTCGTGTGCCTCATGTTCATATTCCCGAGCTCTATCATTCTCAGGTATGATTTTAGCTCATACGACAAAAATCATACCTTCTTAATTACCTCTTCACAATTAAACTTCAGTTTCTTAAATTTCTTGACAGGGATGTTCATCGTATATCTACAACTAGAGATAAGTTTATGGCAATATTGGTGATCATTTTGGCCGTAGGGACGAGTGTAGTTGCCATTTTCTCCAACATATACAGTTACATTGACAAGAATGATCAGGTTTTGTGACCATACTGGGGATCATGATAGTTTGAGGGTAAGCTTAATAACACCCACTACGTATCTTGGTGGAATTCAAAAGTTGCAGGTGGCATCATATGGAATGGAAGTGATTCAAGAACAAATGGGGAAAATTTAAGTTGGAGAGATACAAGTTGTTAGCGTTGTAGATGCCAGGCGATTGAATACATTGTTCGACTTTTGTAATTTTTAATGCTCTGAATTATATGAAAATGGGTCACATCGTTATAAGTGTGTCTCGTTGATTCATGAAAATTTACAACTCTTTTCATCTCTTAAAGGCTTGTTGGAAGAATTCTTCCCTTAAAACCTAATTTTTTTATCTGTCCTGGTCATTGATTTCATGAAATGTTGAACTATTACGTCACGTTAGTATGATAACGTGATGTAACCGTGACACTCAATGTTTTCTAAAAAAATAAACTTTAGGAAGAAATTGATAATTAATCTTGCTTCTAATATAAACAAGAGGCATGTTCATTTGGGGACTCTCCCTTTCATGCATTCAAGTCTATAACATTTGATTTTCCCGAGTGAGAGTCTCCAAACGAACATGCCAAATATATCATTATGTAATTGTATACTAAAACAATGCTTCTAAATTGGCATTTGAAGAACTTCTATTCATCATTTAGATATCATATTTTTTTTTATAATCGGTAATCATTCTAAATATATATTTCATAAATTCATTAATATTATATAAATTCGAGATACATATAATTATTCCAATTAGAACGTATATTCATCCCAAATAATGCATGTCGAGACAATTAAAATATATATTAGTAAACTTGAACTTAAATTTCAAAATATTAATCATTCAAGCCACATCTATTTCTACCATTAAAGGCTGAACAAATAAATTATTCTTGCATTTTGTCTACTTGTATTAAAAAAGTGTCAATAGTATGATGAGGAGAGACCCAAATAATGGGAGAGAGAGAAAGCTAAGAACCAACATAACTTAAGGTACATTTACGTCCACATACATTTTTTATTTCCTTCTTTAACTATTTCCTTGTCCATGTACACTCATCATAGTCGATAATTACAACTATCCCACCCAAAAAATCACCTTTTTTTTTTTTTTAACTTGCACAATTCCAACATTACCCTTCATGCCACACCCTAAAATTTTTAAAAAAACAACAGTGATATCACGTTAATATTTTCACTTGTTATCACTAATCAATAATGTATAAACAAGTAAGGAAATAGATCTCACACAAATTAATAACTACCCGTCTCTTTAAGTCAATAAACTATTTACTTTTTTTTTTTTGATTTAACGGTCATGTGTATTCACGCTGGGACTAGAATATTTATTAGTGATAAATCTCTTGTAGCTTGTCCCAAGGAGTTGTTAAGATTAAACTCGTAAGATTTGAGTTTATAATTCATCTCTATTACAACTTAATTACTATTCACTATATTTCTATGTAAACTAATAATTATTCTAGTCGAGTTCACCTATTTCATTTGATATTTTATTGTTGTTTAAGTAATATCAAATAACAATGTTAACATGATTTCGCTTTGTATCGAATATTTAATACCCACCCACCACTAATCATACTCATGATGGTAAATTCACTAACCAGTTCAATTATATAGGCTCCAACAAATAATTATGAAAAAGAAGACCACACCACCACCACTACAAGAACACTAACACACACCAGAAACGAGCTAGACAGCTTCCGGCCATGGCTCCGGCGGCTAAGAATGACACCGGGGCAAACGTCCCGCTCCTTCAGGAGCTGGGTGGGCCTTCGGAGAAAGGTGGGTCGGTTTCCGGGGCAGTGTTCAACGTGTCCACAAGCATTATTGGTGCCGGAATAATGTCCATTCCGGCGACTCTCAAGGTCTTAGGTGTGGTTCCGGCGTTTGTTTCTATCGTGTTGATTGGATTTCTGGTGGATATATCGGTTAAGTTCTTGATGAAGTTTACGTACTCCGGCGAGTCCACGACTTACGCTGGCCTAATGAAGGAGTCATTTGGACGTGTTGGTTCTGTTGCTGTGCAGATTTGTGTTATGATCACTAATCTTGGGTGTTTGATCATTTATCTCATTATTATCGGTAAGCATATGATTTTAGCTATCAGCAGTCTTAAAGCATATCTAACAGTAGCATATTACAAACGACTGTGATTAATTCTATGTGTTTGATGCCATCTTCGTGTGTTAATCCTTTGCATTTAATCCTGTTCTTCCTATTTTTATTGTTATTGCTCTTTGAGGTTACTTGTGATTGATCATTAAATTTTTAAGATCGATCTCATCAAATCAAAATTTTTTTGAGGATCAACTCTTTCACTTGATTTTTATCCGTTGCTGTATCGTTACTGCATCATTTACACACCCACCATTGATTGAACCTTCAATCTCTTATTTTGAATTCAAGTAAGGCGTGTTTGGATTCTCAAAGATGGATTGGATTTTGAACCCAATTTCATCCAATTCAATGTAAAGATATCCCACAAGTGCCATGGATTATTTTTATTCAAGTTAGAAGGGATTAATAGTTGCATTTACTACGGGCCAATTAATTAAAGTTCAACGTTTATCCCACCATCATTCTGTGATTCAAACTTAGGATTTGTGGGGACTCATGATTTTTTTAGCCAATCCTACTCGTTTATCCACCGAAACAAACACACCCGTAAGGACTAGAGATGTGTGATTAACACTTTGTTTTTTTGGGGGCTATGACTACCAGGAGATGTACTCTCAGGGAAAGGACCAGCTCACTTGGGTGTTTTGCAAGAATGGTTTGGGGTTCACTGGTGGAACACTCGTGCTGTTGCAGTCCTCTTCATTGTCGTGTTCGTTATGCTTCCACTGGTCCTGTTTCGACGTGTAGGTGAGTTTAATAACTCTTTTATTTATTAATTTCTTCTCATCTCCTTTGTTAGGGATAATATAGGACATTATAGTATGTTTGTTTGGGGATAAGTGGGGTATAAGGAGGTGGGATAGAGTACATTAGTACATGGACCCACATATACCTTGCTTGTTTACTAATTTAACTAAGTATTAATTTTCAGATCTTATTACTGACTCGGTAGCAACAGTTACTCTAAATTCATGTACATGAGTATATCTAATGCCACCTAAGAGATGGTATTATTAGGCGGGTTATGGGTCAGCGAAGGGACCTAAATGACTATAATATCTCATGTTTTGGGTGCTTTTGGTGGTTGTTTAATTAACTATTATTATGGCTATGGCTACCCTATGCTGGGATGTTCCTAAGGCAACACGAGTAATGGAAATGGTATGGGTTTGTGTAGTTGAAAATGGTATGTATTTGTATAGTTGGAAATGTGTTTGGAAGGGATAACATTGAATAAATGCATGTGGAAGAGGTATGGAGTTCGGCATACTTTGCTTGAATTGGCATAATTTCATTATGCCAAGCATATGCCAAATCTTGAAATAGACATTAGGAATGAAATGGATGGTATCAAGGGTAAACAAATCTATTTGTAATATATGTGACATAATAAATTTTTTTTTTGATGAATTTCACAATAAAACATATTGCTCAGACAAATATAGGACAAGATTACCATAATTTTTATACTCGGTATTAACTTCCATCCATATTGAAAGTATATGAAATATATTAACCAATTCTATGAATACGAATTCCCGAAACAAACATACCCTAATAGTACATAATATAGTATAAAGATGTGTTTGTTAACTCAAATTCAGTACTTAAAATAAATGTATTCGCCACTTATTAATTAAGTCTATTAGATAACAAAAATTTAAGTTTTCTTAATATGTTAAATGCTCTTTAAAAATAAGCTACAATATTAAGTATGAGATCTCTTATTTAATTCTGAAAGCTGAAAGCGCTCAGCAAAATCATTTTTAATAATATTTATAATATAACAATTATATCCCAAAATATTTTACAATCCTATTAAAACTCTAATTAGTCTTTTCTCCAAAACTCCTAACTATATATTCTTCTTATCGATCTCTTCTTCTTCTTCTTTCCCTTGCCTTCTGTAACAAAAATATACATACATAATTATAATTATACACACAAACATATGCACTGCACACAGACAATTACACACGCTCTGCACACACACGTACTTACACACATGGACTGCACACACACATAAACACATATTATTAATAAATTTAATTTATTGTATTTTTTCAATATTATTTGATTATTTATTAGTTATTGTTCTTTTTTTTATCAGATGTTATTATTCACTTATTATGTTATTCAATTTGTTATTGTTCACTTATTGTGTTATTTAGATGTTATTTATTTTGATCAAATATTTGTTAAATGCAGACTACAATATAATAATAGTGATTATGATTTATGTTATGATATATTTTATAAATATTTTCAAATTAAAGAATGGAAGAATAAAATTAAGAATTAATTTATTTTCAAATGTCAGCTCTGTGTAGTTATCAAACAGTTTAGTTCAATTCAGTACTTAAATTTTAGTGAATATTAAACAATCCATAAATTCAGCATTCGACATTCAAACTTCAGTTTTCAATTTTATGAAAGATCACCTAAATTTATAACATAATAATTATCTGAATAATGCAGTGATCTAAGCATCTGCTTGGCTTTTAAAGGATTTGATTCTCAAATGTGACAGCTCACTTGAGACTGATTAGTCACATGGGGTAGGGTCCGGTCGACATCGTATTAAAAATAATTTTTAATATGAGTTTTAATTTAAAATATTTACAATCATTTATTGCGAAAATACGAAACACAAAATGAGGTCACGCTCTTACTAGATTAAAAGAGAAAATATGATATGGAATAGTAATGGATGTTAATTAGAATGCATTCTGTTAATTGTGTTGTTGTGGCTCGTAACTACAGAATCGTTGCGGTTCAGTTCAGCGGTATCGGTTCTTCTTGCAGTGGTGTTTGTTGGGATATGCTCAGTGATGGCAATCTCTGCACTTTTGGAAGGTAAAACAGAGAGTCCGAGATTGCTTCCTCAGTTGGACAATGGAGCTTCTTTCTTCAATCTGTTCACTGCTGTTCCGGTCATTGTCACAGCTTTCACCTTTCATTTCAATGGTAAGATTATTATTTCAGTTTTGGAATGTTAATTTTAGTTCTGCATATCGAAAGAGCACGAAATTAAGACATCAATTAAAATGAGCTTGTCGAGTTTGAGTATTTGGAGGCTCGGTTTAATTGTGATTAGTCAAACTTAACCCGAGCTGAGATGGACTGAAAGTTTAGGTTCCTTTCTCAAGTTTGGCTTGACAGAAGTTTGCAAGCATGGAGCTCGACACAAACGAGGGCATAGGCGGAGATATTATTTAAACCGAGTCGAACCAAGCCAAGTTAAGCTTACTTTAAGTGAATCACAAGTTATTTACATTCAGCCCGTTTACAAAATAAACTTAAAAATTTGATTTGATTTGGTTCATTTTGTAATTTAGAGGAATAGATAAAAATAAAACTAAACCAAATTCAAGTTGCTCGAGTCATTCAACATCCTATCTAAAAGATGAAAAGTGGAAGAAACTTGTCCCTAATTCAAAACTTATCCAATAAAACAAGACATTGACACACACACACTGCTACCTACCTGTCTCTGAATTATGGTCATTTTATTTTGAATGCAGTTCATCCAATTGGAGTTGAGCTTGGAAAACCAGCAGACATGGCCTTAGCAGTCAGAATTTCTCTAGTCCTCTGTGCTACTATCTACTTTGCAATTGGCATTTTTGGGTACCTCCTCTTTGGAGATTCTATAATGTCAGACATTCTAGTCAATTTTGATCAGACCCCAGGTGGTTCAGCAATTGGGTCATTGCTGAATGACATAGTTAGACTGAGCTATGCACTTCACCTAATGCTGGTGTTTCCTCTCTTGAACTTCTCTCTGAGGTCCAACATTGATGAATTTCTTTTTCCCAAGAGAGGTCTTTTGGCAAGGGACAACAAAAGATTTGTGTCTCTCACTTTTGTTTTGTTGGTTGTCTCTTACATTGCTGCGATTGCCATTCCCAATATATGGTACTTCTTCCAGTTCATGGGTTCTACTGCTGCTGTCTGCCTTGCCTTTATATTTCCAGGTGCAATTGCTCTCAGGTACTCTCTCTCCCGCTCTCTCTCTCAAATAGGTGATTTGTCACTTTGGTCTTCATTAACCACACACTTCAAGAGACATTTTTGAATAACTTTGAGAGATTAAATTATCGAAATTAAAAGAGTAAAGACCAAAGTGATATCGACAGAAAACTTGAGGAATCAAAATGGCCCCTAAAAATGTGATCATCTGCACTAACGTTAGAAAATGTCAACCCAAGCGAAGCAATACCATACTCACTGGACCATTACAATGTTTTACTCATTTTTATTAGATTAATAGTAATTTTGGTTTTTAAAGTATGTCTGTTTTATCAATTTGGTCATCATTGTATTAATTTGATCAATTTGGTGTTAGGAAATTAACACGAAATTCCCCAAACCTGTGAAAAACAACAATAGAGAAAAACACACGCCAAAGAAAAATAATCACACGCACAAGACAGTATTTATGTGGTTCGATAATTTACCTACGTCCACGAACGCACAAGACAATATTTATGTGATTCGATAATTTACCTATGTCCACGAAGTTACAGGAATTTCACTATTATCAAGAAGAGATACAGAGCGGTTGTACAGAGTCAATCAAACCCTAATCACCCAAAAGAAACAGATTTTATATGTCTTGCATCAAGCTACAAACAAACAGGTCCAAAACAATTTTCTCGGCACAAGACTTGTCCATGAGTATTACAACTTGGGCCTATCGGCTTAAACCTTCCCTCCATGAACTAAGCCTCACAAAATTTCTCATTAAAAAATCATGCAACATTTTTCGGGTCGAGTCATCATCCGGATTAACATAAAACTAGACTTCACAAAAAAATTAACAAAATATCCCACTTGGAGACTAATTCAATCATCAACATCAATTGCAATCCTCCCAAGAATAATCACTCATCCCTACAACTCATCTTCATGTTCTCAAGCTAAAAGGCCAACTGAAGCTGCACACAGCTTTAGCTTCTCAATAGTGACACCTTTGGTCAACATGTCTGTCGGGTTCTTAGTTCCACAGATCTTCTCAAGTATCAATTGACCATCATCAAGCAAGGACCATATGAAATGATACCTGATCTGAATGTGCTTCGTCCTAGAATGAAACGCCAGATTCTTGGCAAGGAATATGACACTCTGATTATCACTGTAAAGAGTACCCTTTTGTTTCTTTTTACCTAATTCCTCTAAGAAACTCTATAACCAAATCATCTCCTTTGAAGCCTCTGACATTGCAATATACTCGGCCTCTGTAGTAGAAAACGATACTGTCTTCTGCAGGTTAGAACCCCAAGACATGGCAGTACCACCCAAGGTGTACACAAAATCGGTGGTACTTTTCCTACTATCAATGTCTCTGGCCAAGTCGGCATCAACAAAACCCTGTAACTCCAAACTACCTCTAGTGTAACACAAGCATGCTTCTGAGGAATCTTTCAGGTACCTCAGAATCCACTTCACAACCTCTCAATGTTGTCTTCCTGGGTTGCTCATATATATACTCACCACTCCCACTGCATGAGCAATATCTGGTCTTGTACAAACCATAACATACATAAGTGAACCAATCGCTGAAGTGTAAGGAACCTTACCCATGTAGTTATATTCATCATCTGTCATGGGTGACTGATCTTTGCTGAGTCTGAAGTGACTACCCAAAAGTGTACTCACTGGTTTAGTTTCATTCATGTTGAACCTGCTGAGAATTTTCTTCACATACTCTGACTGTGAAAGCTTCAATGTACCATTAGCTTTGTTTCTAATGATTCTCATACCAAGGATTTGCTTTGCAGCTCCCAAATCCTTCATTGAAAATTGCTTTGACAATTGGTTCTTTAGATTATTAATCTCCTTAATGCTAGACCTTGCAATGAGCATATCATCCACATATAACAATAAAATGATATAAGAATTGCCAAAGAACATAACAACAATGATCAGCTTCACATCTCATGAACCTAGTTCTATGCATAAAACTGTCAAATTTCTTATATCACTGTCTTGGAGCTTGTTTTAGGCCATACAAGCTCTTTCTCAATTTGCAGACTAGATTCTCTTGTCCCTGAACAATGAACCTTCTGTCTGAATCATGTAAATGTCTTCCTTTGAGTCACCATGAAGGAATGCCGTCTTCACATCTAACTGCTCAAAATGTAGGTTTTCTGTAGCCACCATTCCCAATACCAGTCTAATTGTTGTCATCTTCACAACTGGAGAAGATATTTCTGAGAAGTCAATGCCCTTCTTCTGCTGGAACCCTTTGACAACTAATCTGGCTTTATACCTCTTGCTACCATCATGCTCATTCTTAATTCTGTATACCCACTTGTTGTGCAAAGCCTTCTTTCTTACTGGCAATTCAGTCAATTCCCATGTCTGATTCCCCAACAAAGACTCCATCTCATCCTTCATGGCTAACTCCCACTTGCTTGAATTTTCATCCTGTAAGGCTTCATCATAACACTCTGGCTCACCACCATCAGTCAACATGAGGTAATTTAGAGTGGGTGAATAACGCTGTAGACGTCTAATGATCCTAGAAGATCTACGGACATCAGCCACTGGTGTACTCTGATCTACCTGTGATTCTACATTCTCATTATCTTCTTCACCCCTTTTCTGGACAATATTATCAGTCAATTCATCTAAGTTGACAAACTCAGATTTCTTCTGATCTATCTCTGTGACATCTGACACTACAGTTGACATGTCCTTGTACATAACCTGTTCATTAAATATCACATTTCTACTTCTGATGATTTTCTTGTTCTGTTCATTCCAAAAACAAGAGCCAAATTTCTCATCACCATAACCAATGAAAAACACATATTCTAGACTTTGCATCAAGTTTAGTACGAGCATCAGAATCAATATGAACATATGAAACACAACCAAAAACTTTTAAATAGGAAAACTTTACTTCTTTACCACTCCATACCTCTTTAGGAAGTTTGAACTCTATGGGAACTGAAGGTCCTCGGTTTATCAGGTAAGTTGCAGTACTAACAACATCAGCTCAAAAAGTCTTTGGTAGTCCAGCATGCAACCTTATACTCCTAGCATGCTCATTGAGAGTTCTATTCATGCGCTCAGCCACACCATTTTGCCGTGGTGTCCCAGGAATAGTTTTCTCCATCCTTATTCCATGTGCAGCACAATACTCACTAAACCCTCCATCTATGTACTCTCCTCCATTGTCTGATCTCAAACATTTTACTTTTAAACCTGTTTTTGTCTCAACCATAGCCTTCCACTTCTTAAAAGTATCAAATACATTAGATTTATTTTTCATAAAATAAACTCATACCTTTCTGCTTGAGTCATCAATGAAAGTAATGTAATATTTTGAACCCCCAAGAGATGCAACCGGAGAAGGCCCCCACAAATCTGTGTGTACTAACTCCAATTTTTCAATCTTTGGTGTTTTACTAGTTTTCAAGAAGCTCACTTTTTTCTGCTTTCCTAAGATGCAGCTTTCACACATGTCAAAATCAACAGACTTTAATTCTGGTAGTTTCCCCTTTGACAACAGCATCTTCATCCTTTTTTCACTCATGTGACCAAATCTGTGGTGCCATAAGCTTGTATCAGTACTTGCTTTAGCGATTGCAATTGTGTTTCTTGGACTTGAGGTCATATATAGAGTACCAGTCTTCTTCCCACAAGCCAATACTCTGGCTCCCTTTGTGATCTTCCAAGTACCACCAACAAATAGTATAATATGCCCTTCATCATCAAGTTACCTAACATAAATCAGATTTCTCCTCAAGTTAGGAATATTTCGAACCTTCTCCAGTATCCAAACAAATCCATTGGACAATAATATTCGGATGTTTCCCATACCTATAACATTCAAGGCTGTACCATCAGCCAAATACACTTTACCAAAATCATGTGCAACATAGTTCTGCATGATTTCTTGGTGTGGAGTAGTATACAACGAAAGTCCTGAGTCCAAAACCTAATCATCAAGTGGACTATCTACTGCAAGAAGTAATGCATCCTGTACCTTTTCCATTACAGCATTAGCAGAATCATCTTCACTTTTCTTCTTAAGACTTTTGCATTGTCTCTTAAAGTGACTCGTTTTTCCACAATTCCAGCATTTTGCTTGTTGGTTTAATCTAGATTTACTTCTGTTTTGATTAGAATTTTTGGATTTTGACCTGCCCCGATTTGAATTTCTGTCATTACCTCTGCCTCTTGTCTCAAGGTTTAGTGCAGAACTAGATCTTGAAGTTTCACCTGCATATTTTCTGCGAATCTCCTCTGCCAGAATTAAATCTCGTATATCATTGTACTTCAATTTTTCCTTTCTTGTAGAATTGCTTACTGCCATCCTCATTGCCTCTCAACTGTTTGGCAGAGAAGCTAAAACGATCAGTGCACGAATCTCATCATCAAAATCAATTTCTATAGACGACAATTGATTTGTGATAGTGTTAAACTCGTTCAGATGTTGTGCTACTGATGCGTTCTCTCCCATCTTCAAATTAAACAGTTTCTTTATCAGATGCACCTTGTTGTTTGTTGACCGCTTTTCATACATACCAGACAAAGCCTTCATCAGATCTGCTGTAGTCTTTTCCTTTACAACATTGTGCGCAACAGACCTAGACAGAGTTAATCTGATAACTCCCAGTACTTGTCTGTCAAGAAGAGTCCAATCCTCATCCTTCATAGTCGCAGGTTTTTTCCCTAGAAGCGACAGATGCAACTTCTTCCCATAAAGATAATCCTCGATTTGCATCCTCCAGAATCCAATGTTTGTGCCATCAAACTTTTCTATTCCAGACGCCTTTCCTGCTTCCTTTACCATTGCTCCCACTCAACCCTAAACCAGGCTCAGATACTAGTTGTTAGGAAATTTACACGAAATTCTTCAAACCTGTGAGAAACAACAATAGAGAAAAACACACGCTAAAGAAAAATAATCACACGCATAAGACAGTATTTACGTGGTTCGACAATTTGCTTACGTCCACGAAGTTACAGGGATTCCACTATTATCAAGAAGGGACTCTGTACGGCCGCTCTGTATCCCTTCTTGATAATAGTAAAATCCCTGTAACTTCGTGGACATAGGCAAATTGTCGATCTACGTAAATACTGTCTTATGCGTGTGATTGTTTTTATTTGACGTGTGTTTTTCTCTATTGTTGTTTCTCACAGGTTTGAGGAATTTTTTGTAAATTTCCTAACATTTGGTCCCTAAAGTTTTAATTTGTATCACTTTGATCCTTAATTAGACAATTTATTAAATTTTTGATGGACTTGACCATGTGTTATTCTTTAAGATGATATTACGTGACTAACATGTGATTATTTATTCGAAAACTTAACGGTCTGTTTGTGTAGTGACAATNTTTTGATGGACTTGACCATGTGTTATTCTTTAAGATGATATTACGTGACTAACATGTGATTATTTATTCGAAAACTTAACGGTCTGTTTGTGTAGTGACAATTTAAACACAAATTAAATACTTTAGAGACAAAAAATACTATTAACTCATACTAAATGTGCTGAACTTTATGCTTAAAATTTTACTCTTAGCTTATACTACTTTTTTTTCTGTTGACAGGGATGTTCATGGTATATCTACCACGAAGGACAAGATCATAGCAGCAATCATGATACTTCTGGCTGTAGTTACAAGCTCAATTGCCATTTCCACCGATATATACAATTTGATTGGAAACAAAACATAGTGCTTTTTTTTTTGACCTTTTTTGTCCTTTTTTTTTTGTAGCTGAGTTCTATCTATGCTTGTGTGTGACCTTCATAATGAGTTGTTTGAATCCATAGCATGTTTCGAGTCCAAATCGGACAGCTTTTCTCACTCAAAATTTCCCTCTGAAGACTTTTTTTCCGTCTGAGTATGTTGGTGAAAAGAAGATGAATCCGAATCAACTTGTGATCGCACAAAGGATAAACTTTAGAATCTCTTTCTATTTTTTATTATTCTTACCAAACACAAAGAAAGAAAAAAAAAATTCTTTCTCTCACTTTCCTTGGACGAAGCCAGCGTAGGCCTCTATATGCCCACCCTAATTTTTTTTTAAAAAAAGTTACCCACGTAGAATTTTAAATTTTTTTAACATGTTTGGATTTGCATACCCTATATTATTTTTTTGCTATATTAATTGGTATAAATATTTAAATGACTATAAATTTTTGGACATGCTTTAAACACGAACATATTCAGACAAGATTGCATCAGATACATAGTGGGTGTGTCTTTGCTGCCACCTCGATCTTAGTAGATGCATCAAAGTATATACAAGAACTGAAACAGAAAGTGTTGAAAGATTGCATCAAGACAAAGCAACATCAAAAAATTCAAGTGAGAAGAATTCATGGCCTAAGGTAGGAATTGTTGGTGTGGTTGTCAGTGTTTATACAATTTCTTTCTTAAACGTAGTAGTTTATCTGAGTTGCATCTTCTACGTGTACTAAAACAGGTAATTATGTAAACCCTACACAAGAGTTTTTTAGTGAACATATTTTCGGATTAAAGCTGCCCCGGTCTGCTAGTATTTGTGTTGGAGGCTTTTGAAGAGATGGGTCGTAATGTGTTGGAAGCTAGGGTTTCTTGTGTGGACAGCTTCCAATTAGAAGCGCATGGAAGAGAAGTAGCAGCTTCCAGTGGTTAGAAAAATGTGTAACGTATGTATTCATCTAATTAGGTGTTACGTTCACATGATTGTTTCTTATTTTTTGGATCTTTATTGCAGTGAGGAAAATGGAGAAAGCATTGATGCCCAAGTGGTGACACAAGCAATTTCACAGGCTATTAAGAACTGTAGTGGAAGTATAGAGAAATAGTAAACCCAGAGTCATAACATTTTCTCTTTCTTCTTTTCTCCTTGATTGTAGCTATATTGTTCACGTTGCCAATCAAAAGAAATACTAGTCTTACAAATAAGTTAATGGAGGATCAAAGATCCCAAATTTACTTAGATTGAAATCTCCTCCCCCCCCCCTCCCCCCACCAATATTGTTTTAATATGTTTGTAACCATAAAAAAAGAAAAAAAGAACATATCTGATGTTTTATCATGGTGCACAGTAATATTCACTAGATACATCTGAAAACCTGGCCTAGTGCGTTTGAGGTATAAGCCGAACTCGGGATTAAAACAAAAGATAGGTCATTGCACGGAAAATATCACCATTGCGAAATAAAAAAAAATGTATGCAAACTTTGAGTCTTTCTCTTTCAAGCCCCAACTCTTCTACTTTTGATATCCATAAAGGATGCTCTTGTAATCTGAACACTGAGATGTGGGTTCTTGAGTGCAAATGAATCAAACCGAGCCGAGAAAACTATATCTTGCATATTCTTGATTATGAAGTTCAAGGTAGCCTCCTTCAAACCCAGGTTATAACAAGTGTCTGAGATCTCCAGAACATCAAGAGCATTGAATGAGTTCAAGGATCCAAGCATATGGTGCTCACAAAACCTCTGCAGAAATGGGATTTCATACTTATCTGCAGCAACAGACAATGAGTATACATGTTTTTCCACCTTCTCTTTAGGCAAGTGTCCACAATAGAGGAACTCTAGGAGGGCCTGTAACTGTTCGTAGTCTAATTCTGGGAGTGTTATAATGTCACTTGATTGAGCCATGTATTCATCAGAATCAAGCATGTTTCCGAATATATCAGATCTTGCAGCCTGCAACAGAATATAGGAGAATCAGTTTGTGGATTGAATATAGCATGGTTGTATGTGTGTGTAGGGTTGGCAATTGAGCCATGTTGAGTTATTTCAGGCTTAAGTCAAGTATTTAATTGATCATGTCGGATGTTTTGACATTAACCTAACCTATTTGTTATCGTGTTGTATTCGTAAGAGGATTCATGTGATTACTTGGTCATAAAGGAGAAAAATCTTACAGTTTATTCGTACAATAGTAAAATATGTCAATTATGCCACCCTTGTGTGTGTGAGAGAGGAAAGTGTGTCTGAGTGTGTGTGTGTGTGTGAGAGAGAGAGAGAGAGACCAGTAATGCTCTATGTGCAGGTATAGAGGGGCCACCATTGCCAGGCTTAACTTGGATATCAGTGTGAATCTGATCTCTAAACGCAGAAATAAACCCACCCAAAAAGTTTAGCTTCTCGTTGAGTTCATCTTCCATCTCTTTGATTTCTTTCATCCATTTCAAAGCATTTGCCATGCCCTGAAGATCACCAATTAAAGCTATAAAGATCAAACATTTTAACCTTAGACAACCCTTAACTTTGATGTGAGAACAACTATGTTACAATGAATATTATTACATAGGTGTTCTCACATTTGTTGGCAGACGATTTCTCAAGTCAGGAGAGAGGTAACCGAAAAGAAATGCTGATATTGTGGTCCAAGGGCACAACATTCTTAAAAAAAAAACCATATTTTAGAGTCACGAATTCAAAAAGCAGGTTATTAGGACGGTTGATCACAACAAACAGTTAAAACTAACAATAGACATTGAAGAAGAGCTTGCCTTAGATGAACCTGACAGAGAGGTAATGTTGGTACTAGATTTATTCACTTTCTTATCATTATCAAGCTTGTTCATCCAATTGATTATGCTTTTGGCTCCCTCATAGCAAGCTCCACATACAGTGTACCTCACAGGCCTTAAAATAACTGGACTCATACTACAGTTACAGATAGGGCAATCCATCTATGATCTACCTTCTCTTAGCTTCTGCATAAAACAAAGAAGATACAGATCAAACACCGAGATGCTGATGATGAAGAAGAAGAAGAAGAAGAACACCACTCTGACCCTTGTTTAATTGCTTAGGCTAAGTACAGTAATGTCTGTTATATTGTCAAAAAAATATGGGTAGGATTGGCTCCAAGTGTAGAATTGGGAGGAGATGGAGGTGAGAAAAAAGCTGAACAAAACTGCTGAAAACATGACACCATTTTCTTCGCTTTGGTGAGTCATTGCCTTAATAAATGTTTGGGGTTGTCCTTTAGTTTCAGGGTACTATTAAGGAGGAAATTAAGGAGTTTTTTTTTGGGCCATGTGAGTAACTTGGAATTAGGGCAAATTTGACTCGGAGTTTGACTTCAACTTGATTTGTTCTTTAATAATTTTTTGGCTTCATTTTTTTAAACGAATTTCAGAAGGTTTGACTCGAATTTGTAAAGTTCGATTCGTTTATATATAGAATAGTCGAATTATTCAAGTTCGATTTATTTTGGGCTCGATTTGTTATATATACGAATTAAATTTGAATAATTTTTTAGACTTTTTAAAAAAATGAACTCAACCCGATTAATAACTCTATTTGTAATAAGCAAGAAAAAAAATTAATATCAATATCTACGCAACTCGATAAAATATTTTTATATTTAGAGGGTGTCGCTTGAAGCAAACGTGTCACCATGTTTGTAACTCGGGCATGTGAGAGCGCGGCCCAGTTTCTCATTGGGCCCAAACACCCCTAGCCTCACCACAACACCTCGTAGTTCGTGAGAAAGAGAGAACCATCCAGAATCCTGAAGATCTCTCTCCTGGGTCCAGCAACGTCGTCGTGAATCCTCTCTCTCTCTCAAATCCACGAATATTTCCCGCCATTGTTCAGTAGCTTCTTCCGCAACTATTTTGCCATTGTTGACATTTGAGTAGCTTCTTCCACAACTACAATTCCAAGTATCCCCCCCTCTCTCTCTCTCTCTCTCTCTCTCTCTCTCTCTCGGTGTACTGGTCTATGAATTGAAAGGAGAAATCGATTGAAGGCAATCTTGAATTGGGACGCAATGGAATCTGAGAGAAGAAGCAGTGGTGGTAGTCGAAAGTCAGTAAGGAGAAAACCCTTATCGGACCTCTCGAATTTCAACCTCATCCCCGCCTACAGCCTTCGCAATCTCTGCTCCTCCTCATCAGCACAGAAACCGTCATCATCTTCATCTTCTACCCTCTTCTCCAAACCCCCAAATCCAATTCCAGTTCCAGTTCCTAATGCGATTTCGAAACCAAAACGAAATTCAGAAACCTATAATTCATTGACTAACAAAAACACCAAAGCAAACACTACAAATTCCCCTAATTCCAACACTAGCGTCGGATCATCCAATTTGAACAACCATTTCAATGCTCCAAACCCTAGCGGAACAGTTCAACAATCCCGCCCTTCCACTCCTCCAATTCCGCTAGCTACAAAATCCGTCGTTGCTGGTACTCTCTCTCATACACTTTTGCAAATGTATGTGTGTATTAGTTTAATTGGAGTGGATGAATGAGGAAATATATGCATATCTGAATTTCAAATTGTACAATATAGCTTTTACGTTTGCATGTCTCCATTTATAGAGTTTTATTAGTTTGTTGGTTATGGGAGACTGTATCCTTTTGTTTCGTTCCGAGGGTTTTAGAGCTTGCACTTGGGTTTTGTCACTCTTATATGTTGTTTAAAGGCTCATTTGGATGCTAGGGAATATGGGCTTAATGCTATTTGTTGTTTGAATTTCCAATATCTCTCTCTCTCTACACACACACACACACATTGTTTGTGTAGGTGCGTGCAAATGTATATTGTGTTGTACTACTAATGGAGATGTGTGTATTATTTCAATGCCTCATGTGAATTCATCCGGTTTGGGCTTCTGGGTAGTAATACCACGTGTTGTGTTATTTGCCTTGAAGGTAATGCAGATGATGAGATACTTGAGCCTCTAATAGTTTATAATCGAAGATGGTCTGTGGAGAAAACTGTGAATAGAGAAATGTCAGATGCTGTGCCCTTCAGTTTGGCTTCTCTGGTTGAAACGAAGGACAAAAGTAGAATGATTGTGCCTGTGGAGAATACAGAGGATATATTGATGGTGGCTGATATGAATTTGAGTAATATTCCTCTTAGGAAAGAAAAGGATAAAGGCAGAGTGATTGCAGTGCCCTCTTCTCTGGAGAAAACGAAGGGTAAAAGGAAGCCGGTTTCTGGGGCTTCCACATGTCCTCCTCTGGCAAGAAGGACCAGAAACATTAGGTACCTCTGTCACTCCCTGTAACACCAAACCCAAAAAAAAAACACACACATTCACACACTTGTGCTCAGTATTGTATCAATGTGCATAAAATTTTGCCTTAGTCAGTCATTGTGTCAGATTTCTTCTCAATGGATCCAATGGAAATGATACATGTATGTATGAGGAATTTCAAGGCTTTGGAAAAGCGATATAGGATTTGTTTGATGCAAATATAATTGGAATCTAATGAGTTGATTGGGTTTTCACAAAATTTAATTTTTGTTATGGTGTGTCTGATGGAAATAGGTTAGATGAAACTTTGCTATTTCTAAAATCTATACTGATGCTGTCTTATGTGCTCCTTGTTTTTCAAATAGGAATGGACTAAGCAAAGCTGGAGATATTGAGTCATTGAAGTCGCGCACAGATCCTCATGCAAAGCATAAAAAGGTTTGTGCAAGCATATTCCTACCCTTTAACATTTCTGTCTAGTTGGACAAATCTCTAAAGGTGGCCTTTCTTTTCGAGCTCTGGGTCCCAATTTAGTTTCTTTTAATGTTTTACTCTTTCTTCAATTCTGGTCATGAACCTGTATGTTTTTTTATAGTATTTATGGAACCGTATGGCAATCCTTTCATTTCTGGATCATAATAAGTAATATAACTCTCAATAGCTTGCTTTTGTGATTGCAGTTTGGGTGTATTGGTTTGTATATCTATGGTTTCTTTATACTTGGTAGAGAGATCCTGTTGAATCAAGAGCATCTGAAAGCCAAGATTATATGTTATGAGAGAACAGATAAGCAAATTACAGTGAGCAGGCTGTTCTGATTTGTCCATATGAGTGGCCTTGATGTATTTTCTTTCTTAGTAAACCATAATTCGATTATGTAATCCTGAATGTAGGATATGGTGTAAGTTGTTTACTGTACTGGAGATGTTAGAGTTTACTTTTTTTATTTCTGATCGTGTCGTATGCATCAATTAAATTTTTTTATTCTTAGAAGCTTCCTATGTGCTCTATAGCTTGTCTTTTGAAAAAATGTGTCTGGCATTGATGGTTAATGGCCAAGATGCTTTTTTGCAGAAGAGGTGTTGTGCATCCCAGGAGCAAAAAGATGCCTTGCCCCAAGATTTTATTGATGAGCAGAGATCTTATTTTAAAGAGATTGATGAGTTCGAATTACCTGAGGAGGAGGTATCGTATGATGAGTTTCAAAAAGAAGAGAAAGCCTAACATTTAGGTCAGAAAGGAGGAACATCCTAACCTACTGATGTCTTGTGTAAAGTAACAATTACTTAACTCAAAAATTCTGTTGAAATACCTACCAACCTACGAATTTTATGGGCATTAACCCTTTGTAATTGTACATTGGTGTTATAATCCCACCGTACATATGATAGGTTATTCCTGGAGAAGAATATTGTAACATAGATCATGTCCAGTAGACTGCATTTTCAGATTCTAGAATTGTTGTGTTTGCTATTGCAGATTGATGATCTGATGTTGCAGTTTTGTTGACCCAATGATTTAATCACGACGTGACCCAAGGTATGCTGTTTAAACTACTCTACTTTTAACCCTTAATTGCCAGACAAGTTATAAATATATATTGCTGCTGCCCTACAAGTTGAGTCTGAAAGAGAGGTTGGCTTCAATATGGGTGAAATCTTTACTTGGAAATGTGTCTACCCATCAGCCTATACAGTCGGTGGCTGTTGGTTATTTTGGGCAGAGTGAAATTATGCTTTACCAGTTGCTTTCATCTTATATATTAATGAATATGAGAATGTTGAAGTTCATGCTAATTACATCGTGATTAAAAAAAATTAAAATTTGATAGCATATCACCAGTAATTTTTTGCGTGTCCATCGATATATCGTTTGAAAAATACTACACAACCCAAAAGAAATATAAAAGTTGAGATTGAAATGAATATCATCCAGTGTTGGTTGAGTGGGTTTTATTGTAAAAATTAATGGGATTTACTCATATAAGGGATAATATGCATTTGTATTATAATTTTTTGGGTTTCATTTGAGTTTTGTAATACTGCTCATATCATTTTCACGTGTTTCTGGTGTGATTCTGTGTTTATAAGTTGGTGATGGATCAATGGCCTGCCTTATAAGCTTAGCCCATCAGCTTTTGGGTTGTGTTGTTTCATTTTTCCTTCATGAGAACATGTGTTCATTAGTAGTCAGATATAACTTGGGCGGGTCAATTCGAATTCAAATGGAGTTTGATCTAAATATTTAGTATTTAAACAAAAAATTTGACCTATGCTTATTCGCGTTGGAGTCTTGGGTTATCCTGGGCCAAGCAAAACCAAACTTGAATTGGTGAATTTCAACTCGAGCTGTACTCAACTCAACTGTACAAAATTTTGTTATAATATTTTTGGGGTTGGTTATATAAATTGTATTTCGCTATTGTTCTCTAAATAGGACCCTTTTTTTAGTTAAATTATAAATTATTATATCTTTTTTTTTACTATGTCATTTAAAATTAATTTTGGTCTTCCTTTATTTTTACTCTTACTGGGCAATAGTTCGAGTCGTGTAAATCAAAAAAAAATATAAAAAATCTGATGTGTTAAGAGATCTAGTTGTGTAACTTGAGAATGACATTTAAGTAGAAAATACGAAAGAATAGTATATTTTAAATACGAAACGGAAACGAAATGAAATATGACATTTTTAGCTTTAATTTTGGATGAGCTTTTTCCCATTACGTTTGGTAATATAGATTAGAACGGCTTACTCTGAACTCCAGTTGAATGGTTGGAATTGAATTCGGTTTAGTGTTGAACTCGGGTTGGAGCTAAATAGATCTATCAATTGGTCTAATCGAGTTGCACTCTGATATGAGGTGGTGGGAGTTGAGTAGGTGGGTTCGTATTTCTCAGTAGAATAAGCAAGCACCAAGAACAGAACCCATGTCTCAAACCACAATTTTACTGTCGAAAACATAAAAAATAAAATAAAGTAATAGTCACATATAAGAAAAACCTAAACCACAAATTCCGCCACCGTACTCAAAAGAAGTTGTGTGTGGAGTAGTGAGGTACTGTGGAAGATTTGACTGAACCTGGGAAGTTGTAAAAATGCCATCATGACAGAAATTGAAATGTTTGGCTGCAAGCACGGGTGCATTTCAATGGAGGACTCTGACAGAGTCACCGAATAAAAAATTTTAATATCATATCTCTAAATTTTATTATTTGTATAATTTTATGAGTTATTTTATAACTAAAAAAATTATTATTTTTGTAAATAATTTATTATATTTATGGGTGTTTTTATTAATATTATAATAATTATTTTTATCATTTTTTTTGATAAGCTAGACAACTCCTTCAATAAAATTGCACTTTAGGTATATTTGGATGGTTTTGAAATGGGAGAATTGCATTACTTTTAACGAATCTTTCCAAATATGAAGCCCTTTTTGTACACGAGATTAATAAATAAATTCTGTCCAATTCTTTATTTGGTAAGTAACATAAACGCATGTGAGGACCTACAGATTAATCATAATTATAATTAAATATTTATCAGGTAATTGATTAAATTGTATTATCCTTTCCTTTGTAATTGGGTAGATTAGGGAAATAAATGTCTTTTTACCATTAAGTTTTAGTTTGACTGATTTTAACCCCCATGAGCTGTTGAAACCCATGTTCATGGTCAAGGGTTTAACCTGCCAAGCAGATACGGGTCGAGATCTTAATCTCGGGTTTCAAAGCTTTTAACTAAACATGTGATTTAGTGGCCCATTGAACTATTTTATTTAAATACACCCTTACATACCCTCTCACCTTAGGATCAAATTAAGGTTTGAAAAATAATTTTTCTTAATTTTCTTATTTTAGTGGTCCATTGAACTATTTTATTTAAATATAAATACACCCTTACATACCCTCTCACCTTAGGATCAAATTAAGGTTTGAAAAATAATTTTTCTTATTTTTTTTTCCATCTAATGAAAACTTGACATGTTTTAAGATTTTTTATGTTATTTTATTATTTTTACAATTAATAGTTAAAAAAATAAATCAAGACAAAATCTAGGGTCAGAAAGTTTTAAGAAGCATATAGTGTTGTGAACTGAAAGTTGACCTTTGTGCATTGCATTGGGCTCCATTTCCGGCTGGGTACACAAGTTTTGGATCCCCTGATTGGTAGAAAGTGTAGGCTTATCTCGTTCAACAGAGGAGTAGGGTTGCCATGTCTCTACAAGTTTAAGCATCAAGCATGAATGCATATCTTTCATGGTTGCCATGTCTCTACAAGTTTAAGTATCAAGCACGAATGCATGTCTTCATTTGAGAAACCTATGGAATCATTCTTACAGCTTTAAACTTTCTATTCACATCAATGGATTCTTTTCTTCATTGACACGAAATTACATTCCCTTTTTGCTTTCTTTCTTACTGTTGGTATCCACTCTAGTTCGATACCGACAAAAAATTTCACGATAAAATAATGGACTCTTTATTTCCGACCAACTTGAATTCAATCCGAGTCCAATCCAAAAATCTTCAATTCTTTAGTTGAGATTTTGAGGACTTAGAGATAGATTTGGCTTGGTCTAATGATACTCTTTGCCATTAGACTGGTTCACCTTTGGTCTAATAGTACTCCTTTCCTTACGAAGGTTTTGTCTTTTTGAAGTCAATGGTTCAAATTTCCCTCCCTCCCTTTCTCAAAAAAAAAAAAATTTATATATATATATATATATATGAGTCAGATTTGGACCAGAAAGGAAATTCTGACCCAATTGAATTTTGGTAGTACTTTGAGTTGAGGTGTCTGGTATTCCAAATCCAATTCGAATCTAACCTGATTTCTCTAACCTTTTTTTTTGGGTAATTCCTCAAAATCTTGACTAAAGAATTGAAGATTTTTGGATTGAATTCAAGTTGATTGAAAATAAAGACTCCATTGAATTCAACTAAAATGGGATTCAAAATAGAGCCTTACATATTAAATATGGGTTTGAATTTCGACTTGAACTGAACTCAAATCTCAACTTGAGAATTAAACCCGAATTTCATCTTGAGTTTTTAATCCCCTAAAAAATTTGATCATGGGCAACAATTGGGTTGAAAGATACAAGTGGAAGGTGGGTCGAATTGAATTCTAGTTGAAAGTTTTATAATGTGAATTGAGTTTTAATAAGTTTCTAAGACTGTTGGCACAAAAAAAAAAAAAACCTGATGAGACCATAAATTCACCCGAGTTGCACCCCTATTCACGGTTTTACTACTAGTAAAACCGTGACCACAATTTGGAGCAAACCCAAAGAGCAGAACCTTAATTACCCTGGTACACAAGCTGCATTCTCTTTTACCAGTCTAGTTTTTGGGTATAGAAAGTACAAAGCTCTCTATCTCTCTCTCCTGTGGATCCGCACAAGGCTTTTTGATTGAGGCATAGATGGACATATTGCATTTTTCTCATTACATAATTATTATTCTCCTACTATTTCTGAGAAGTTGTTGTTGCTTTCATGATTTCTAGAGGTGGTGTTCAATTCGTTACTTTGGAATTCAAGTGTCTAATCAAAGCATTGCAGAATTGCTCACCATTCAAACTGCTCTTTTGTTCTTCTTTGTTTCCCTCTTAGTTATGCTCAATTCCACAAAGAAGGAATATACCATGGACCCTTGCACATGATATGCACAGCAACTTTGAATGTAAGTTTTCCAATTTTAGTTTACTGTTTTAAGACTCCACTCAGTCCACTAGGGTCAGCTTAATACATACCCTTTTAATAGGATCTACTACTATTCAAATAGACTTTGAACCCACACTAGTTGGTTTAATCTGCATGTCTTGAATTTGAGTTCTTTTAGCTGTATTAAGAATAATAGGATAATATGTGTAAATTGTTAATAGTAAGGGGATGTATGTGTTATTATTATTATTGTAGGTTAACTATAAATACAAGTTATGTATGAGAGTTAGGTTAAGTTTTTAACCTCTCTCTTTTCTCCCTAAATATTGTCTAATATTATGTTAATTTTCCAAACTTGACATGGTATCAAAGCAAGGTTAATACAAACTTTAACTCTTCTGGACTGGTGTGGTGGTTGTGGTCCATTGTGGTTATACCGGTGGTGGTGGTAGTCGACTGTGGTGGTCGACGTTGTGTGGTTCGTGGTCGTGTGGTGTGGTCGTCGTGGTCCATCNAAATAAATTCTGTCCAATTCTTTATTTGGTAAGTAACATAAACGCATGTGAGGACTTACAGATTAATCATAATTATAATTAAATATTTATCAGGTAATTGATTAAATTGTATTATCTTTTCCTTTGTAATTGGGTTGATTAGGGAAATAAATGTCTTTTTACCATTAAGTCTTAGTTTGACTGATTTTAACCCCCATGAGCTGTTGAAACCCATGTTCATGGTCAAGGGTTTAACCTGCC